AAGAATGTACTGTCGGATGTCAAAATGGTTAAATCAGGGGTACCTCAGGGATCCGTTCTTGGGCCTATTCTGTTTATACTATATACATCAGGCGTACTTAAAATTATTAATTCTCATGGATTTGCGTGCCACGCGTTCGCAGACGACATTCAAGTTCTGGTGACTGGTCATCCTAATCATTTCCAGACCGAAGTTGATAAATTTGTCAGATGTTTGTTGGAGGTTGGTAAATGGATGTCATGTAACTCATTGAAGCTCAATCAATGCAAGACTCAACTGCTTCCGGTGGGCACATGGCAGCAGCTGGCAAAATTAAATGCAAGTTCCATCACAGTAAATGACGTTGACATACCGTTTGTTCAGACAGCTACCAACTTGGGAGTTTTGCTTGATAGTAAATTATCGATGAAAGATCATATAAAGATGCGTCTCCTGTCTCCGAAATTTGTATCGAATTAAACACTGGTTGGACAGATCAACCATAGAAACTTTAGTGCATGCATTTGTTACGTCTCGTTTAGATTACTGTAACAGCTTGTTGTATAAAATACCCGACAAATCAATAGCTATTTTGCAGTCGGTTCAGAAAAGAGCTGCAAAGTTGGTTGCCGGTAAATTGAAGTTTGACCACGTTACGCCAATTTTGAATGATCTGCACTGGCTGACAATTGATAAAAGAATAATTTTTAAAATTGGTGTGATTATGTTCAAAGCATTGAATGGAATGTCACCGGATTACATAACTGATAAATTTACCAGAAAAGAATCAACTTCTGGTTTCCATCTTCGATCAGATGATATGAATCTCTTGAGGGTGCCAGTGGCGTTTTTACAGATTGGTTCGCGTGATATTGCAATCGCTGGTCCTACTGTGTGGAACAATCTCCCTGCACCACTAAGAAAGCCTGGGCTTCATCTTCGAGCATTTAAAAAAGATTTAAAGACATTTTTATTTTTGTTGAAATTACATTGAATTCTGTACTACTTGATTTTGTACTATTTTGTTTGTCACGTATATAATTGCTTTATTTTTGAGAGCGCCTGTGAGAACATTTAATGGGCGCTCTAGAAGTTATCCTTAATAATAATAATAAAATAATAATACATACATACATACATACATACATATGACTGAATGACATAACTCTAAAAGAGTATTGACATGAACCGATGTTTGCTTTGGATAACAAGAAATTTGAGAATTGGATGGTCGATTGTTTTAGTTGGAATCAAATTTTCTTGGAAAACTTTAGTTTAAAAATTGTATCATTTGTGTGTGTTTTTATTAGTTTAATCAATTTTTGTCAAAATGATAATAATCTGATTTACACAGTATTGTATGTATTCAAATTTACCTGCATTTTCAGTTCATATTATTATTTCTTTTAATAAGTTAAGATTTACATGTTTCGATCAATTTATGTTAATACTTGTTATGTACTCTTGTTATTTTACTATTTAATTAATGTCTAGATATAGAACTTTAATGTATACATTGTGTAGTAAATGCATGCATATTGTATTATGTTATGTTTTGTCATTCTATGTTGTTATGCTATGTGTTTATGTTTTGTCATTTTATGCAATGTTTTTATGTTACGTTAGGTTACGTTAGGTTTTAACTGCAGTTTATCGGTTAAGAAAGTTAATGCAAGCATATTTTTAACGAATTAATGAGTGCAATTTTATAAAAGTAGGCTCGTAAAATCTTACAAAGTATAATCTAGGATGAAAAGCTAATTTTGCAAAAAATTTTCAATTCAATATTTTTTTAAATTTAAGTTTTTTCGTATAGCTTAAAGTATCATTATACTTTTTATTTGTATAAATTTTCCTGATGAACGCCATTTATTTAAACAAAATGAAGTCTTATTATTTGTATAATAATTAATAATATTAATAACATTAATTAATCAAGAAAGCATAAACATAACTTGATTTGTAAAGAATTTAGTGCTAGCCTGGCATACAACTTTAATGGTAATAAGGGATTTGTTTTTTATATGAAATATTGAACACTGTTGACAACTAACGATTGTCTTATTCTTTTTCAAATTTTCGTTTATATTTTCAACATTTTTCCATTAAAAACCGTTTTTTTTCAAAGATTTCCTGGTTTTGTTAAAAAAATGCCATTATTTCTTGTCGATTATATTTTTGTCCAAAAATTTAAGTTTCACATATTTTTACAGTCTACAGAACATATATTAAAGAAATAAAACGCCGATCAAAAATGTAGTTAGATGCTGTCACAACTTTCATTAAATCAACGCATCTAGTAATATTAGCAAACCCAGCAGTAGAGAGTAGTACGGCACATCAAGGCAAACACAAATTTTTAGCTTTTCTCACTAAGTGAGGCATAACATTTTAAAATCATTTGCAGTTAAATTTGTTAATAAACTCTATGTGGAATATAACTTTTTTTTAAATTTTATCAAATTTCTTAAATGCCAGTCAAACTTTTGATTTTTAGGTATTACATACTAACCTACTTATAGAACATTTCACATTTCACCCCTCTGCTTTCGACATCAAATGCATGTTCAACTTTGATTACTTGCAAGATTAAAATTTATATTAGCAATTACTTTGAAATTAACTATTAAAAAAGGTTGTATAAAATGAAACGTAATGATCGCACACACAGTACAAATTCTACATTTGATTTTTCAATAGTTTCCAATTATCATTTTTTTAAATTTATTAATTCTCGAAATTTTTAAATTTACATCAATAAATGTTATTAAAAGTTTGTTATAAGGTCATTGATGTTAGAAAAAACAGATCAAAACAATTATTAGCATACCATATAATATAATTACCCCTAATTTATTATTTACGATGAAATATCATATTTTCATGAAAAATTTCTCTTGTTAATTAAATAATTAATGAAGAACATCAATGTCACGATGAACAGACAAACATTTTATGTTTGAAAATAAACTTTAATGTGCTGCTTCAGACGAAACACGTGTCAGGAGTATGATAATAGCAGATTATATCTTTTATTTGATTAATTAGCAAAACATAATTATTTCAATCGATAAATTTTTTTACGTAAATCTAGTGAAACAACCAAAATTCACAGTTGTTCACACAATACAAACTTTTTCTTGGGATAGAAAGCAGTGAGTATGTTTAATATAGCAAAAAGTATAAATAGCAACTGCTGGAAATGTTTTGTTAGAAGTAAAAGCAATAAAAAACAACTCAATAATAAGGGTGGGTCAAAATAGTTCCATTTTCTCCGTCAGGCCTTTATAGATAACAAGTCCGTATAGTGAATAGTAAATATATGAAAACACACCGTAGAAAGTGCCGTACAGCATTGCCCACACCAGGTGATACCATTTCAAAGGAGAGGCAGAAAGAGACATATCGATAACCACAATAACAACATTGAGAATGTGTGCATGGATGTCTATTAACGATAAACCGTTGGACCCTTCCAAATTCACCACCAGACCAAAGTAACCCGTCGTAACAATTGGCGACATGATGTATGCAATATCTCGACCCAGCCATTCGAACCAGATACTGAATTTCAGAAGATTTCTTCTCACCTGATCAGCGGTTGGCATGCTAGAGTGCAAAATAATTTCTTCAGATGTCCTCTCTTTTTCAACTTGGCTGCGTATGATATCGCTAAAGAAAACACGAATGGCCGACGAAATAAAATAAATGGTAAGAACAGTGAACGAAATGTTTGTCATGTACACAAAGTAGTTGAGTCCTCTGTTCGTTAGAAAGAGAATTACTGTCACCAACAAATAAAGAGCGAAAACTCCTTTGTAGATCACAAAAATAGGGGCTGGAATGGGCCACTGTAAAAAAAAATTAAAATATTTTGTGAACTGCCAAAAGGAATTTCAAATAAATTTCTTTAATTAAGGCAAAATTTTTAATTAATAATGGCATACAAAGTTTATTTAAAAAAAGTTTGATAAAATGTTTAAAATAATATTCAGATTAAATCAATCAAGTATAAAAAAATGCTTGTTGACATCAACATCAGCAAATATTTATTGTTCGAAGATGATTTGAAACAAAATGCTCGAGTGACTTCAAAATAATCAGAGTTCAATTTCTTAAAGTGGTTAAATTTGGAAATCTGTGAATAATTTTGACAAGGACATGAACAAATTTTTATTTATAAACCGTGAAAAATCAAAACGAGAATAACTGAGTTTAAAACATTTAAAACAAAAAAACATCAATCCAATTTTTTACTTGGGGGATCGACATTTTGTATTATTCAAAAATAAGTGGCATATCAGAAGGTTGAGATAAAGACGAAATAGAATAATCACTACGCCAACAAATATTGGTTACTCGTTATCAACATGGGTAATTTTGGTAAAAATATCGTTTCAGTTAAATCATGATTTGTTTATCTGTTCTATTGAAAACGGCGCAGCTTGAGGTCTATAACGAGCCTAAAAAATGCCGAGTCGAACCGAATCGATCAGAAAACTATCAGGGCCTCGGGTAATTACTGAGACATTAGGAATCTGTCAGAAAATGTATTAGTACCGGTGGCCAGGTTCTAAAAAAAGTATTTTGGTGTTCGGATCGGGAATACGAATACTCACGGTCTGGTATACATTCCTACTAGAGAGATCGATTACAATGGTAAGATCGACGTTAAGATGCGTAGTAACAACGCAGGGCACAACCAGTAAATTATATATTTGCATGTCTATTTGCATGGGGCTCAAAACATCAACTATTTCCATATTTTTGCTGCCGGTTTAACATATTCAAAAATAAGTATAATGTTTTACAAGACAAATCAATCGGTGTTTGTTTTGGTAATTTCATCGTGATATAAATTATTTGGTAAATTTTTAGTAAAGATAAATGAATTAATTATATTCTAATTGAGGTAATTATCAGTTGAATTTATTGAATTAACCTGACATCTGTTGAAAAGCTCAAGTTTCTTTATAGGAAACAAGAAGTTCACTGGTTTGAATTCGTTTTTAAGAAAACGTGAAACCCCATTCTAAAAGTCAAAATATTAACAAATGTTTCAATTAAATGTAAATTTATTATTTTACAAAAATTTAATTGTTACAGGTGTAAAGTAGTATTATTTTATGAACTATTTATAATCTTTCATAAATCAAAATTAATTTATTTTATTCAGGACTATTGAACTGGGAATGATGGAGCCAGTACAAGGTAAATTTCAATAAAAAACGTTTAAAAATATAAAAAGTAGTGTGATGACCAAGCAGAGGTCATCAAGTTTGAGTTTTCGGGCGAGGGTGAAGGCAGGCAGGGAGACCATAAACTCATTTAGCTTTTTCTAGGGAAGCTAACACCTAAAAAAAGAAAAGCGAAATCAAGCTATGCACAAAATTGGATTTTTTTTCAAAGTTTGATATTGGTGTGCTAACGAATATGTTAAATCAATAATGCTAGATCATTCTTTTAATATTACTGATTCTTGTCTATTTATGTTCTCTTCTTATCTCTGTAATTGTTTTTTCTTCTGTTCTTAATAATGCTAATTTTAAATCCTTTACTCTTACTTTTTGGGTACCTCAAAGTTTCATTCTTGACCCTCTCTTATTAATACTCTATACTTCTGAACTACTAATTAAAAACTCTCTCCAACAGCAACTAAGCTCTCCCTAGAGGAAGAGCGCTGAAAAAGATTATTTTATAAACGTAGTCCACGTTTCTTGCAGACAGCGCCAACTTAATCTACCTGCTTTTTATAAATATCATTTATCCTTGCAGGCGCGGTCATTTTTTTTTGCTCGACATGTCAAGAAGTTATGGTTCGCGCTGCTTAACGCTCAAATTTTTTTAATACGTGATATTTTTGAGAAAATAGTTTTGAACATTTATTGTTAAAATTATTAAAAAATTTGGCTTTCTAAACAGGGCCGGCTTTAGGCATAGGCAAACTAGGCAGTCGCCTAAGGCCTCCGATTTTTAGGGGCCTCGCAATGCAGATTAAAACATTTTTTTAGAAATCTTACTTCGAGGAATTAATTTCGTATACCTAACTGTTTTATTTTTAATTAATCGCAGTATTATGCCGCAAGAGTTTATCATGAAACAAACGTATTCAGATTGAAATTTTTTTAAATGTGCAAATTTTCTTGTGCACATTTTTAAACTACCGGTTATTTGAAAGGATTTACTTGTACTAACGCAACACCGACTAAGCTAATGAATAAAAATATGCTGTACATTGTACAATATATGCCGCAACATGGCTATTCAATAGAATTACGACGCATTTCATTACGACGGGTTGTTACTTATATACGATTATCATGGATCAAGAAGAAGATCACACAATCGCGATTGCTCCAACTGTTTCTATATTTGTGGTATTCAATCAATCAGTCAGTCGGTCGGTCGGTCGGTCGTTCGGTCGGTTGGTCGGTCGGTTGGTCGGTCGGTAGGTCAGTCAGTCAGTCGATCAATCAATCAGTCAATCAATCAATTCATTCAATCAATCAATCCACAAACCAATCAATCAAGCAATCAAGTACAGTTTAAACAATTCTATTTATTGAGATACAATTATCAAATTCAAAAGACAGAAGAGACAATTATTAAGACAGTTGTTCATTGAAACATGCCCATTCACGCAAGAACGCACACTCGATCTCGGTATTTACACACATAACATACAATCATTCAAACATAAACACACATACATACATGTGCACACACACACACATACACACACACACACCACACACACACACACACACACACACACACACATATATATATATATATATATATATATATATCATTATGGCTCCATTATGCACTTCGGACCAGGTAATAAAAAATGTCCACTGTATATAAATGGAGTTATCTATCGACCGATTTAGCTCATTCGGTATGCGCGTCGTGTGGTGTAGATAGTAGCAAAGAGCTTTCCTTGTAGAATAGGTCTAGAATAACATGTATGTTATAAAAATTGCAAAAAGAGTGCGGGGTTTCATGCGGGGTTTCATGGTTATACTCCAGAGCTCTACTGAAAACCACATCTATTCACAATCTGGTTAATCCCCAACACGTCACACTCACATACGTTTATTATTCAAGTTTGAAATTTATTGTTTTGTTTTGGTAATATTGTCATACGAATTTTTTAATATGAATAACATTATTTTAAATTTTTATCGCTGATGGATAACAAATGATAGCGCGCTTTTGAGCGAAAAATATGTTAAAGTTATTTTTTCATCATCTTTGAGACGTGAATACATTCATTTTATTTGTACATTTACTAGAGACGCACCGAAGATTCGGCTTCGGCCATCTTAAGGCCGAATAGACCAAATAGTAAAACTTCCATTAAAACCATCCATATTTTGGACTCAAGAACAATATATGTTGAATATTATTGACGAGAAATTTATGAGTGCCATCATAGCTAATAAAACATCTAAATTTAAACAAGAGATTGTATATTATCTCTATTATATCTATAAAAATGTTTGGTAAAGTTTTTCCAATTTTGAACAAACATTTCATTTAACTGAGCCAAGCTCTTCTCTGGAACAAACAACGTGGTCTACACCATCAATGAAGTTGATCACCATATTTCTTTTGCAGTCTCTAGGTCCCGCGGTCACCTCGTTGGGTTCCAAACGATAATACCTACCACGGCATCTGAAACTACCGAACTGGATTTGAATTTTGGGATATATTGTTTGTTGTTGGTTCGTTGATGTTGTTGTTGATGTTGTTAATGTTTGTGGTGGAGTTGTTGATGTTGGTTTATTGCTTGAATTTTTTGTTTGATTTTTTTTGTTAATGGATGTTTTCAATGATGAAAAAAATGTTGTTTGCATGGATGTTCAAAGATCAAATTCAAAAGTAAACAACACCGGATTATTTGCAACTTAAACCTTTTTATATTATATTAAATTTTTTATGCATTTATTTATTTTTTATTTTAATCAATTTTAACTATAAAATGAAACATTTACATTAGAATTGTAATTCTAACCAAATTGAATGCTTCCGTTAATTAGTGATTTCATCATTCAAATCATTGTATCATTGTAATATAACAACTTACTTCAGTTTTGCGTTATGTTAAAAATACTATAATCAAGAATAACCACCCATTGAAAATGTTGCTTTGGTCCTAGTGCATATTTGTAAGTGAAAAAGGGGTAAACGGTCAATTCGTTGTTGTAGTAATAGCAACACACTCCCTTCAAATTATGAAAATAAATTCAGAAAAAATATAATATATTTATTCAAAAATTTATATAAACCTGATGCGGTAATTTTTCGGATCGAAGAACATTAAATTTTATATTTTTATTTTTGTCAGCTTTGTCAAAATACAATCTTCTGGTAAATGTTAACGGACATGGTTCTAGGTTTGTGAATTAATATTCATTTATTTTTTATTTATTCAATTTTGTAGAATTAATTGAAATTTTTATTGTAGTTTTCAAACTCCAACTAAATCGAATCCCCGCTATAAAAACATTTCTAACAAACAGAATAACATAACCGTGTATCCTTCCAAAGCTTTGAAACACATCTAGCGAGAAGACCACCAACATGCAGTAAAATGACAACATTTTTAAAAAACAAATTTTCTCCTTCAATTGTGTGTGGTAAGTGTTTAATTGTCACAAAATTGAACCTTTTTTCTAAGCTGATTAGAGTTTATCATTAAATTTTCTTAGTTTACGGAGGCGAACATTTAGTAAATCAGTCACTCAATTATTAATAAACTATTTAATGATTAAAAAAAATTTAAAATATCATTAATAATTGCAATGACATCAGTAATAACGATAACAAAGGAGATCCTAATAGCTATGATAAGAACGAAAAAATAATGGTTAATAAAAAACGCATCAAGTTATTGCGATTATAATTAAGTTAATGGCATTTAATTGTAGGTGATAATATTTACGACATTGTTTTTACGCTGCTAAAATCAATCGCAGAGCGATCAGAAACACATGTTGCCAACATGTGCGTGCAATTTAACGTGTCATTAGGTGCCGGAGCAAAGATTCTTATTCATGTATTAGCGTGTCTGTCTTTTTACGCTCGTTGTTATGTTTCAAGTTTTAAATTTTTTTTTCACAGACGACTGAACCGTTTACCATTGTACTTGTAATGTACATAATTAAGTTGCATGTTCTTTAAATGCAAAATTCAAAAAAAAAGTATGTGATCCAAATCAGAAAGGTCAAAAAGAAAAAAATACTTTTCTTCATCGTTAACATACTCCTCCAATCCATTAAAATATGCATCAAGGTTTATGAACTCAAATAAGGTTATCACACCTTTGAAATTTCAACATATATTTTGTGGAAGCTGTAGCAAGTCATTGGTTGAATGAATAAAATTTTTTTACATTTTTTTACATTTAAAAATTTTTCTGCCGATAACTTAATTATAGATGGTAATTTATTTATTGTTATAGATTATTTTTAGAGAAAATTAAAGAAAATGTTTTTATAAGCATAATCGTGAAATGTTGGCAGGCATTGCGTTTTTAATCAGATTATTGAAAAAAGTAACTACCAATATTTTATAATATTTAATTACTTTTCAGAAGTAATAATTAAGTAAGTATAAATTTGTTGTTGCAGTAGATTGAATTTGTTTTAATATTTCAGGTCTGCGGAATTGTTTCCTTAGTTTCTGCAAAAAAAATTATGATGAAACTCAAACTTTCTACGATTTTTGTAGTCTTTGTTTGTTTGATGTTGTTGGATTTACCAGATTATTATTACGAATTGTTACTTTTGAAAGTTATATAAACTTATGTTTATTCAATTTCCAGCAGATTTTTCTAAATACAAATATAATATCTAAAGAAAAAGATTATTGTTTTTATTAAAAAAGTCACCACATCAACAATAACAAACTCAAAACTTCAAACCAACCAGAGAGCCATGCCTGCCCGGTCAGGCCATGCATGACTAAATGTAATTTGAATTGGAAAGATGCCGATGGCTGTGCTGTCTGTACTACTTGCAACTGTGGCAGGGTATGTTTGAACTAAGATAATCGATGAGATAGAAGTTTTATTAAATCAAAAAATGTTTTTTTTTATCAGTCGGCTGTGTGAAAATTTCAATCATTTTAATATCCATTTATTCATTGCTCGTTAAAAGATTTGCTGGGTGAACAATATTTTATAAAAATAATTCACATGATCTTGGAAATATTTCTGATACAGAATAATTTTATTTTTACATAAAGTTCGTTTGCAGAGATGGTCAGTATTGTCGCCTGTACACAAGTCTTCGTATTAGTTTGGTCTGTTCTTTCAACTGAATAGACGTTTTAAACAAATGTTCAAAGTTTCAAAGTCTATAATAATGCTATCAAACCATGAATTAAAATTTCATTGGTAGTTTTGTTGAATGTTGATCAAGTTTTAAACTAAAAATACTGATATAATAAAATAATGTGAATGAAGTGGTTTTACCTTTTGAGTTAGTTACTTTCTAGATGTTGTTAGTAAACTTTGAATAAAAACTTTTTTAAGGTAAAAATGTTGATCAGCTTTGACACTATTGAGCATTCTAACTATAAAATCTAATTGTTTTGTACAATTTGAAAATATTTTTGCGGTCGGCCCATTCGAACGGAGGTCAAATATTTTTCCAATAGTTGAATGAACTGTGCATGTTGACCAAAATATGTGGTTTTGATTGATTGGTGATGTCTTATTATTTATTTTTAAAGATTGTGCAAAAAATATTATGGTTCTTATTTCTTCACATAATTTTTGTATTTTAGTATCGAAGTGATGGTCACAGCGTCAGTTGTTTCAATTCTTCCTTTAGTTCATTGATTGACTAATCCATTATTAAAGTTGAAATATATTTTGTGCAGTAGACGGGGCAACAAATTTTAAATTAGAAGCTGTAAAGGACTGATAAAATTGGTGAATTGGTGATGATTTTAACGTAATGCAGTGAGTAAAATTTTATAAAAATGAAAATATGCTTTAGCTTCTCCGTGTCATTTCGGTAGTTTTAGACTTTGGTGGGTGATACTATAAAAGCGTTGATTGAAGCTGATGAAGTAGGGAATGATGGTAAGTTTAAGTGGTTTTCAGATTTGTTCCTTTTGAACCATTCCAATTTTTGAATGTCAAAATGATCGGTGGTGCATTTTGAGACCCTATTTGACTCAATGACTTACCAACTAATCTGAAAAATAAAACAAAAGTGTTTGCAGATGATACCAAAATCCTGAGAGCAATATCGTCAGACAACGATGTAATCGAACTTTATTCTGATTTGAATGAGGCATTCGAGTGGCTTTTACGGTTCAATATTAAAAAATGAACCGTAATGCACTACGGATCTGGTAATAAAAAATGTCCACTGTGTATAAATGGAAAACTTCTTGTTGAATCTGAATCCGAGAGAGATCTTGAAATAATTCACTCAAATAACTTAAAAAGGAAAAATCAAGTCATCACAGCATCAAACAAAGCAAACCAAATGCTTGGTCGAACGAAAATTCTTTTGGGAAATTTGATTATAAGTTGCTTCGTAATTTATACCTAACTTTTATTCGTCCACTGTTGGAGTTTGCAGTATCAGTTTGGTCTCCAGATCTAAAGGATGATAGCGAGGTGATCGAAAGAGTCCCGCACAGAGCAGCAAAGTTGGTTCCATCTATAAGGAGCCTAGCTTACAAAGATCGTCTTAAAAAATTATGATTAACAACCTGGTGGAAAGAACAAAAAGAGGAGATTTGATTCAGATGTTTAAAATCATGCATAATTTGGACAAAGTTGATTTAAATAAGCGTTTTAAAACCAAAACGCGAGGTCACAGTTTGAAATATTTTAAAGATTAACAAGACATAGAGGCAGAGAGAATTATTTATTCAATGAAGTGGCAAATACTTAGAACTCATTATCAAATGAATTTGTTGAGGCACATTCAATGAACAACTTTAATGCAGGCATTGATTGTTGGATGAACAAAAATCAAACAACGTATCAGCTGGGCTAGCATACCCAACAACATGCTCTGTGGATAACCTCCAGAGCAGCATTACTGCTACTACTACACTACTACTACTACTACTACTACTACTACTACTACTACTACTACTACTACTACTACTACTACTACTACTACTACTACTACTACTACTACTACTACTACTACTACTACTACTACTACTACTACTATTACTACTACTACTACTCCTACTATCACCTTCATTTGCAACTTTTGCTGAAAGAGTGGTGAATTAAATTATTGTCGACAATATTTTTGCTTGTATCAAAATTTATTGACTCGTTTACAGGTAAGTTTATAGTTATTGCAATACTTTTACCAAAAAACAATTTACATTCAAATTATTTCCGTTTAAAGTTTGTTAAGTACAGCACCAGATGTGACTATTTATATTTTTTAAACAGTCTGGTCATTTTCGGTTATTCAATTTTAAATTAAAATAAAACATAACCAAAATGAAACAATTAGAATCAAGTATGAAAATTTGAAAAAGTAATACTTTTAAAATTTGTGTACAATTCAATTAAAATAAAAAATTAAAATATTTAAAGTTAAAATCAAAATGGACTTGAGTTTATATCACTATAGTAATAATATTGAAAACGTTTATAATAACAACAAAAGCCGTATAATAAAAGGCAATAATAAAATAATAATAATTATTATTATTATTGTTGTTGTTGAAAAAATACACAGTTAATAATTAAAAACTAAAAAAATTCAAGCAAACGAAATTCCAAGTGTAGAAGTTTGTGAAAATCGCTAAAAATGTGAACACAATCACATTCATGTTAAGCATGATACTTTAAAGTTATTCATGTTATGCGTTATGGTTTGATCACGTGTTATATTTAAAACTGATTATAATATTACTGTATAATATTAAGCATCTGCTTTCTTGGCCACCATATTATACAGATGGTGCAGGTGGTGTAATTATTTCGTCGCTTGTCATTCGAACGCTAGATGCTACATTGATGGTTGCTCAGATGCCGGAACGATGCCATCTCTGTTTAGTTGTGTCGAACGTGGCATCAACATTTGAAGTTGTTGTTGTTAGAAACTAGGATGGCTTGTTAGTTGTTCGCGCATGAACATGATCGTTACATTAAACGTTACAATAATTTAAACTATGCAGTCTTGGCGTCAAGTCTGTTACGTCTCCTCTATTGTCTCTTTCTCTCAGTTTGTCTGCTCTCGTGTGTTCCCCTTCTCGTGTGTGTTCTCGAATTGAAACTACTCTTCCATATACAGTCATGTGTTAGATTAGATTTTATCTTTGCTCTCCTTGTTATCACTTGCCATTGAAACTTCCTGTGGAGAAGGCATATCTTCAAATATTTTTTGAATCTCTATATCTTTGTCAGACTTTTTTTATCCAAATCCTGTGTTTCATCTTTGCCAGACTTATCTGTGCTTTCGTTTGGTCTGAATTTGCTATTGTCATCGTTACAATGATTGACTTCATTTTATCCGCTTTTTAATTGTGATTTTTTATTATTATTTCCATTGCTTCCAGATTTTCGACCTTGACTGGTTGATCTGCCATGTCGTTGACAACTAGAGGTTTTTTATTTTCCATTTCAAGATTTTTCGAATTGTTCACTGAGACTGTAATGTCTTTTACGCACGCATTCCATATTTTTGAACTTGACTGGCTAATCTTTCCAACAGTTGACTGGTAGTAGTTTGTTCTTTTGGTGTATTTCAAGAATTTTCATATTTTCCATTGGATCTGTCATGTTTTTTTCCAAAACGACCACTTTTGCTTGTCGAGGTGTCTTTGAAACCTCGTGTCATGTTGGGCTGCTGCTGGTGTATCTGATGTGGTTCTAAATGATCATATGTCATATTAACATGCTGGTGAGGTATCCAAGGCTTTTCACACGGATCGTATGTTATATAGTAATATTGATAAGGTATCCACAGCAGTCCTAAATGATTGTGCATCGTGTGCAGCTGCTGAGTTACCCAGTAAGGTTCCGAATAATTTTGTGTCATATTGTTTTGTTGGTGAAATATCCGAGGCTGTTTTAAATGTGGGAGTGCAAATAAAGGATGACCAAAAATATACGGGTTTATTGGTTCTGTTCGTTGTTGTGGTTGAGTGAGCTGTTGCGGTTTTATCGGCTGTTGTTGTTGAGTTGGATGTTGTGGCAGAGCTGGCAGTCGGTGTCCTATGAGTTTTTGTTGTGTTAATTGTCTGTGTTGCTGCAAAAACCAGTTTAGAGGTGGAACACTAACATCGGGTAGTTCAAATTGTTCAATGTCTTCACTTGGTTTCGACTTTCTATAGCCATGAATGGTTTGAATAGTTTGATCCATACATGTAAGGGATGTGTCTGGATTATTTAAAACCTGGGATGTGTTAAGATGGTTGTTGGTGTAGAATATTTCCGGGTTATATTTTTTCTCTGTTATAATTTCAGTGTTTGGGGCTACCTTCTGCTGAATAATCAAGCCTAATGTTGACGGAATAATAACAGGAACGTTCGATTCCGGCTCTGTCATTTCTAGTATTTTTGTATTTTCTAACACAGAATTTGGTTTTTCACAATTTATAAACTGCCGACTGGGAAATGTTTCATAAAGATAATTTTGGCTGCAACTATTATTTTGCCGGGATAAATTATTCATCACAACCTTTTGATTTTTAAGTCTCAAGTTGGATGGACCGTAAAGGTGCACGTACTCTGCTACTTCTTTCTTGAGCATGAATAAGCCTCCATAGAGGTCTCTGTATACGTAGTTATAATTGTACATCTGCTCCACTTCTTCCAACAAACTCACAGGCACGTTGTGGACCACCCTCAATGCAAAATAGTCCGCAATGTTGTTACCGTGATTCTCCAGTATCTTTTTGACCGGTCCAATCTGCAAAGTTAAAAATATGATTTGATGAACATTATTTAATATCTGAAAATTTTTGAAGTAAGTATTTTAAAGTATATTTTTTTAAATTTAATAAGAATGATATAAAACTTGCATGAACATAAATGCCATCATCTTCATCATTTTCTTCTTCTTCGTCGTCGTCATGTTTGTTGTTTTTCCTTTCAACAGGTGGCGGTAGAAAATGGAGCGGCAAAATATTCGAACTCTGCTGGATGACTGCTGGTACCAGGACTTGCGAATAAAAAGTTCTTGTCAACCACGGTTTGTAACTACAATTGAGAAATTAAACAAATTTTTATCATTAATTTATTTCTTAAATTATAACTATTAAATTCAGTGATCATTATAAATGTTGATGTGCTTTGCTTAATATTATGTTACTGTTATTTATTCATTTTTTAATTTTTCACAACTCGAAAGAACTTATAGAAAACGTTCGATCGTTTTTTAGATTTTTCACTTGACAATTTTCATGAAGGAATCATTTTTTGATTCACCCAGCATAACTCTTATTTCTACGAGTACTAAAATTTAAAAGTAAAATTTAGGCATCAAGTCTCACTTGTTATATCCGTTGTTCTTCTGAACTTCAGCACTGTCGTCGTTCATCCACTCGCTGCTCCGAGCCATCACCAGCTTCAACTTTTCCTCCTCGCTTATGTTCATTTCGTGAATGTTTACCGTTTTCACCACTTCACTAGAGACAACCGTTGCTGATGATGACAGTGATTGAAGTACTGATAATGATGATGATGATGGTGATGATGATGAGAAAGATGATGGTTGCTTGGATGGCGATGATGATGATGGTTGTTTGGATGGCGATGATGGTGATGATGATGATGCACTCGAAATTGTCGATACTGATGACGATCCTAACGAAGATGTAGGCAACATCAGCGGAAACAATGGTGACGTCATTTTAGAATGATGAGTACTCACTCGTCGATTCGCTTTGCACACTAACGGCGATTTTTAGTTCTTGGAAAGCGCAGCAAACCAACTTCTTTTTTTTCGGATCAACTTTTTTGTAAGAAGGAACAATACAATTTACAGAGTAGGTAAGTAATAATTTGAACTTATATGAAAAAAAATTTAATTTAGTCTGTAATTTAAATTACTGATAAGAAAAGTTGTATTTTAGAAATTCTAAACGAAAATCGCCGGTAACTTTTAACGCTAGCGAGTTGCCTGCGAAAGACCATTTAAAAGCATAAGAGTAAAACAGCGAAATGAGGTTTCAACATTTGAAGCCAGTTTATATATGGATAACATTCTATTGCAAAAATTCACACAAAGTAAATTATAGCAATAAAAGTACAGAAGTTAAAGGTATTGTATTAATTACAACAACTGATTTTCATTGTAATTTTTTTAATGGGATCGAACTTCATTAGAGAAGTAAATAAAATTAAGTAGGCTCACCCGCGCTTTGCCAAATTATAGGACAAAAGAATTAATATTGGACTATGGTAAGGAATTAATTAAAATAATTTATTTCTATTGTAGTAATATTAATAATTTTATTGTTATGTTACTTTTTTGTCGTTATTGTTTTTGTTGTTGTTTTCGTTGTTTTTATTATTATTAATATTATTATTAACGTTATTGATGTTGTGTTGTTGGTGTTGTTTTGATGTTTTTATTAATTTTTTAAATTTCTGTTGATATCATTTACACTTTTAAAACTCTTATTATTATTATAATTATTATTAATATTATTATAATTATTATTAATATTATTATAATTATTATTAATATTATTATAATTATTATTAATATTATTATAATTATTATTTTAGAAAGAAGCCAGCTCGTGGTGTGTCGTCGATGACGTTGAGACATGTTCTTCACTTTCACAAAATAATTTATAAAAATTTTGCAACATTCAGGAACGTTCTCAGTCGAACAAATGAAGAAAAAAACAAGGTTAAAGAAAGTTGGAAAAGTAGCAATAATCTACATGACAATGAGGGCAGAACAATAAGCAAATTGATTAAAGCAAAATTCAAAGTAGGCACATTTTTCATGTTGAGTAGAGCAGTCGTTTTTTCAAAACTGCAGCAAATAAAAACATAAACAAAACAATAACACACTTCTTGCACTTGACTGGGTACCGCCTCGCACGCACCATCTCTAAGTTGCAACACGGACCCACCAACTTCCAGCAAAATGTAGAATTGTAAAGCAGCCAAACGTCATCCTTTTACAACGATAGGCAGAAGATGTTACGTTGGCAGTCGCAAGCGAATTCGAAATCAATGCAAAACGCGCTTTCTGAAAAATGATGGAAACAAACTTGAGAAGCTCTTGGCGCCATGTTACTGTTGTCCCGTTTTTAATTTTTTGTTTTATTAAAAAGCAAACATTTTCCTTTAAAATGATGGGGCTCCAGTGTTTTCCACAGTCCACCTAGAAATGTCAGAAGCTGCAACACCGTCTGTAGGGTGATGTAAGGATGACCTGAATTTGATCATATTTTGTCAGTTTCAGTTTTTGAATAAACTGGTTTTGTTAATTAATTCTTGTTAGATACCTAATAAACGTAAGGGATTAAATAAATAGAATAAATGTGAAGAAATTAATAATGTTGTTAATTAGATCGGCCAAGGATAAATTTAACATAGTTAATTATTTTCAATAAAACATACATAATTTCTTCAGCGGATACTCGTTTCCGAAAAAAAATTTGGAAGTAATCAGTCAATTTAACAGTTGCGTTAATGGTGAAATATCCACTGTGATAATTTCTTCTGGTTGGGCAAACATTAAAATCTAAGTAGTGAAAAATGCACAAAATAACATTTCATCAACTAATCAATACTTATAACACAACTATTGTAAATACATTGAAATGGAGCAAGTGCCTGCAATTTTTTTTATCCCCTAAAATTTCAATATCTAAATTTAGGTATTTCAGATGTTTTTCATTTTTTTTAACTATGATATTTCTATCTTTTAGTAATGAAATGTCAATCAAAAAGCATTTTTTGTATTCTATTCCAATATACTAGATCTGGTCGTCCCTCCATTATTGTTCTGTCTGTTATTACCGTAACGTCATACATCAACGTGACTTCATCCGTTTGGACAACTTTTTTTGGTTTGTGTTCATAGTATTTTTCGATTACTGTATATTTAATTTCTTTACATAAATTCCAGTAGATATAGGCTGCCACTATGTTGTGCCGACTGAGATATTCAGTTCAGGACAACCAGCTATAATGTGTCCAATCTATTCATCTGTTTAATGACACATTTTGCATGACACATCTGCAACATCATTTTAAAGAATATGTTTTATAAATTTTCTTCTATTTAACGCTTAATCTTGGGCAGCAGTATTTAAGTTTTCTGTTTCACATTTAACCATTCTTTTATCAGCCAGTATGCAGATAACTCTTTGTCAGCACCATTTTGATCGTGTTCTTTGAAAAATTGCCCATGGAGGGATTTGCTTTTGAATTTTATACCTTCTTTTTCCTTAATAAATTTGAACTTTGTAACAATTTCTTTATTCGTCAGTGCAGTTTGATTCAATTTTTCTAACATTTTTCTATTCCTTTCACAACGAATATTTCTTTTTCAATTCATCAACTAATTGTACATTTTTAATAAACTGATCATTCTTACTTTTAGCACATTTAGCTTATTTCCAGATTGATTGAACACAAACTGTCATTATTTCCAGATTGATTGAACATAAACTGTCATTATGGGAATAACATATTTGTTCTTTGATTATAAATCTCCTCTTATTGTCAAGTTTCTTCCTGTTCATATGCGGAAAATTGTCTAGATATTTTTTTCTCCAAATAATACAAAAATCAACAACTACAACAACAATCTGATATACTGATATAATAATAATAATAATAATAATAATAATAATAATAATAATAATAATAATAATAATAATAATAAGTCACTTGCAAAGCGCCAATTTAAGCGACCGATGCGCCTTCAAAAACAAGAAATGAATAATAAACCGCGGCAAGTTATTTAAAATAACACAAGTTCGATGTTTAAAATCAAATTCACAAAATTGAGACTATAATTAAAGTAAAATAGTTAATTGAAAGCAGTCTATAAAATTATTGTTTAATTGAAAGTGAAGTTAAAATAATAAGTTTTTAGAATAGATTTGAATTCACAGAAGAAGCTAGAATTCCTGATGTTTGGAGATAGAAAACTCCAGACAGTTGCAGCAGCATGACGAAATGCTCGTTTTTTAATGTTGGTTGATACCATTAGTACAAATGAAATGTATAGAAACATCAAAGAAATAACTGAATAAAAGGCTTGTGCCGTTTCTGGATGCATAAAAACTTAATCCGGTAGAGTATTCTTAGAGAAAGTAAAAGTACTTGACAGATTAACTGAATACATTAACGATCTTTTTGAACCGTGGTAAAAATCCTCCAAGTAAAAAAGACGTAGAAGGGCCAAAAATACTTAGATCTGAAGTTCGTGCCGCTCTTTTCAAAATGAAATTAAATGAAGCGCCAGGCCAAATGAGATAGTTGTTGAAGAAATTAAATGCCTTGATAAATTTGTCATTGAGAAAAATTTTGAATGATATATATATAACAGCGGCAAAATTCCTGAAGATCTATTAAGTCAATATTTATTGCATTGTCTAAAAAACCTAACGCGACCGAATGTAAATTACATCAAACTATCGGCTTGATGAGTCATTTAACAAAACTTTTCTTGAGAAATCTAACGATGAGACCACGAACCGAAATGAGATCTGAAATTTCAAAATGCAAACAATTGTTTCAAAACTGGTTTTTGAAAGTGAATAAGGTTTGCAAATTAACCTCAACAAAACAAAATGCATGGTTATCAGTAAAAGTAAAACTGTCCCGATCTGCTCCATAATCATTAATGGTAAACAGGTGAAAAAAGTCAACAGTTTCAATCACTTTGGAAGTCTGATTACTTCAAACGAAAGATATCTATGGCGAAAGATGCATATTCTAAAATAAAAAAACATCCTCACCAACAGTAAAATCAAAATATAAACAAAATTAATACTGTTAGAATGTTACACATTGTCCGTGCTCACTTACAGCTCTGAGTCTTGGACAATTTCTTTAGAAATGAAAAAAAGGAATAATGTTGCTGAAATGTGGTTTTGAGGAGAATTATGAAAATTAGTTGAACCTCTCATACCTCCAATGAGGATATATTAAAACAATCTGGTTATGAAAAGAGGAAATTATTACTAATAATCCAAGGGAGCAGTTAAAGTTTTTTGGTCAGATCATGCGGAAGGAAAGAATTGAAAATCTAGCAACAACAAGAAAGATTGTCTGGAGAAAAGATCGGGGTCAACAACGAACAACATTCGTGAAGTCCATGTGTCATTTGTTGAGTATCACAACATTTCAACTGCTACAAAATATTAAATATCGGGTATTGTGGAGGTCAATAGTCACCTATGTCCTAAAAGAAAAAGAAAGAAGAAGACGATCGGAAAATTATTCAAATATTTAGTTCTCCATATTTCATAAGTAGTTTGAGTTAGATTTTCTTGTTTTACCACATTTGCTGATTGGTATGTCAAAATTACTTGTTTATTATCTTCTGCCGTTTATTTTTATCTTTTGTGACATCTGGAGATGTAATCTTTGTTTTTACTTCTGCTGAATTGGTTGCAAAATTTTCAAATTGTTGACGATGTGTATTAGTTTTGAAATTAACTCTCACTCTTTCATCAATATTTATTACTTTCATTCTTTCATTAATATTTATCATAACATAATTATTCAATTGAATTATTATTATTATTATCCGTACGCACGATCTATCATGAGAGTTGGTCGTTTTGTTCAACTTACTGATTTTACGTATCTTTGGTTTTATTTTCAGCTATTCAGTTTTAATTGAGTTGGTTTGAAAAGAAATATTGCAGGGATTATGGCAGTAATTTTAAAAATTAAATTGTATTTTGTTTTTAATTTTATTACCATTTTAATATTAAACTTAATTAATTTCACAAATGAATGTAATGTCCATATTGCAACAAGTTGTTTGTTAAAGTTATCCGCCACTCATAAATAAATGGATTAGTGTCTAAATGGATTGAATCGTTTCTTAAAAACAGACGACAAAGAATTGTTCATGGTGAAACTATTTCTGACTGGGCTGAAATTTTTAGTGGTGTTCTTCAGGGCTGTGTTATTGGTCCTCTACTTTTTATTCCCTACATCAATGACTTACCAACAAAACTGAAAAATACAATAAAACATTTTGCAAATGATACCAAAAGCATGAAAGCAATATCGTCATATAACGACGTTGTCAAACTTCAATCTGATTTGAATGAAGCATTTAAATGGACGCAAGACTGGCTTCTACGGTTCAACATTGAAAAATGCACTGTTATGCACTACGGGTAATAATAAAAAATGTCCACTGTGTATAAATGGATTACTTCATGCTGAATCTGAATCCGAGAGAGATCTTGGAGTGTATTTCTCAAATAACTTGAAATGGAAAAATCAAGTCATCAAAGCATAAAACAAAACAAACTAAATGCATGGTCGAATAAAATCTTTTGGGAAATTTGATTATAAGTTGCTTCGTAATTTATACCTAACTTTTATTCGCCACTGTTGGAGTTTGCAGTATCAGTTTGGTCCCCAGATCTAAAAGATGATAGCGAAGTAATCGCAAGTCTAGCACAGAGCAACAAAGTTGGTTCCATTTATAAGAAACCTAGCTTACGAAGATCGTTTTGAAAAATTAGGATTAACAGACTTGGTGGAAAGAAGAAAAAGAGGAGACTTGATTCAGTTGTTTAAAATCATGCATAATTTGGACAAAGTTGATTTAAATAATCGTTTTAGCATAGTCAAAACCAAAACGCGAGGTCACAGTTTGAAATATTTTAAAGAATTAACAAAACAGAGAGAATTACTTATTCAATAGAGTCGCAAATACTTTGAACTCATTACCAAATGAACTTGTTGAGGCAAAATCAATAAACAAATTTAAAGCAGGCATTGAATGTTGGATGAACAACGGATCAGTCAACGAATCATCAGATAACCTCCAGAACAGCATTACTAGTACTACTATGTTATATACATATATACCATGTTATTCATATATATATATATATATATATATATATATATATATATCACGTGAAATTTTTTTATGGCTACATTGGCACGTGTTTACCTTCTTTGTTAACGCAAACGCACATATATAACTGACATTTTGATCAAAATTGATTTTTTAAATTTGGTCATGTATATGTTGTTCTTCCCATTCCCGTCCATCATTTACGATTACCGAACAGTGATTCCTTATTCCCTAAAACTTCCATTCCAGAAAATTAGTTTATACCTATTCCCAAGGGAACCCCATGAGGACCATGGGATTTCCGCAATTCCCGTTCCCATGCTCACCTTTACCTGAAATCCATACTCGCAAGTTGAAGAACGCACACACACGCTTACACGCAATCTCAAAAGTAAAAGCAGTTATGGTTTATTAAAATTAAAATTGGAAAAAAAAACAAGGAAATTTGTTTTTGATTTTATAATAAAATTAAAATTGGAAAAAAAAACAAGTAAATTTGTTTTTGATTTTATAACATGAACGGAAATTTATAGGATAAGATTAACACGTCTGAACATGATATGTGTTGAACAAAGCCTACTCACGAATCTACCATGAAATGAGACAGGTAGGTAGTTGACCAACAGGTGGGTAATGTCTTAATGACGAGACGACCAAACAGAACGAAACTCAACATTCTGGAATTACAACTAATCATGACGTTGGCGCCTATTTAAATTTAAAAACGTTTACAACGCTAAGTGAACTAAAAAACCAAAATTAACATTGACACGGGTAAATAAATTTTCCTAAATATTTTGTACCAAACATTTTTTACGAATCATAAATAATTAATGCTGAAGAAAATATTGCCAGACTTGTAGAAAACAAAATCAATAATTTAATTTATAATTGAATTAAAATAATATCATTGCAAAATTGAAACGTTAAATGTGATTAGTATTAGCAAGTTTTTTTTTATAAATAAATTTGAATTTGTCAACAAAGTATGAAATAAATTAGTAAATAAAATTATGTAAAAAGTTTGAAAAAATGCTGAAATGAACAAATTAAATGTCATAGAATATCACAATTAGAAAATTTTCAAAAAGAGGTAAACAAATTGAAAAAACATATCTAAACAGCACAACAAACATTGCATGGTTCAAATATTCCCAGCCTAGAACTCTTCAGCAATCATACGACATGCAACCATTCAACGTTCAAAAACACACAAACTTTCAAGGGTTCACGACATACAATCCAGTGCGTTCTTCGGATCTAGATAGCAAATACCTTCTTAAGTTGACGTACAACATAACTCTCAATAAATACAACAAATAGATAAATAAATTGCTGAGTAGAGATCCGATAAAAACGAACAAAGCGAAATATCTGGCCGCTGTGTGTGGATCGGACCAATCGGACAGCACTCGATACAAAACCTCGTCATACAATAAATAATAAATGTAAGTGAAAACTCCATATGCGATTCCATAAACGACCACCCATACTCCGTGGAACAGTTTAACAGGAGAAGCAGAAATAAACAAATCAACGAGGACGATCACGCTGTTCATAATATGGAAGTTGACGTCGAACAAGGTCCTGCCACTCATTCCCTGTAAACTTGCCACAAAACTATAAAATCCTACAGTCACAATCAGTGCACCACAGTAAGCGAGGTGGCGGGCCATCCATTCAAAATAAATGCTGAACTTCAAAAGTGCGTGTATGATGTTCTGTTTCCTAAGGCTACTCGGATCAATGTTCCCATTAAATATAACCTCTGAACGTCTGTTGTTTCTTTTCCTGCGTAGAACTTCAAAGGTCACAGTGCGAATAGCGGACGAGAGAAAATAAATTGCAGTTATTGTGTATGAGATGTTTGTTAGGTACACAAAGTAACGAAGGCCAGCATAGATTGGTGCCCCGATTGTTATTACCGTCGTGAAGAGAGCCAGAACCACCTTATACGACAAAAATATGTTCACCGGTATCGGCCACTGTGGGGAAATTGAATTAAAAATTTTTTCATGTTAATGTCAGTCATAATCAAATAAAATAATCAAAAACTTGGAGTTGAACTAAAGTTATTAAACAATAAAGTATGCACAACAAGCTCCATGTGCAGCAAATGAGACGCTTGCTTGGTTGGTCGACTGTAGATTATAGCGGTCATTTTGACGAAAAAGTAACAGAGGAAGTAAAAGTGAAAAGAATAAAATAAGCATAGGCTATTTTATTGAAGGAAACATAAATTGAAGTGTGATTTTCAGTATATTTGTATATCATCACGAGCAATATACCAAGACATTTTCAATGAGCATTAAACATTTATTAAACAAATTGAAACTTCTAAGACACTGTACCACTAATAACCTGACATCTGTTGAAAAGGTCGATTTTCTCAACGGGAAATAAAAAATTCACAAACATGAATTCTCCTCTGATTTGATGCCAAATCCCTTGCTAAAGTAGTCAGAATATAACAATTGAAAAAAACAAATACGTTAATAGAACATTTTCATTATACAGTAGAAGCAGGTTAATCAGACCACAAGTTAATGATTAATAGAACCAAATATTAAAAAATGAAACTATATCCAACTCTACAATTTTAAATTTGATCGCTTTTTAGGACCAAAAATATGCCGCGTCCGTCAATAATATGCGTTTATATTTTTTCATCTGGCTTAAAATAATTAAAGACACCCCAGCAAAAAGAGATCAGAAAGCTTATTTATGACTGATTACATGGTGTTATGGCAAGAGTACATTGTGTTTGAAAACCGAGTAAGATAGAATAAGGTTATATATATAACGGGAACAAATTACATTTTGTAAAGATGACACGAAATTTGAATAAAAAACCACAGTTGTAACTGTGTGAGCTGTTAGATAGCATTGAAGCAGAACACTTTGCATGTTGATTTCGCTAACGTTTGTACGTTATGAATGTTATACCTTGCAACGAATTTATAATCTTTTTCTAAAAAGTGATTTTTAATGAATAAATTGAAATAATATAACATTACATAAAACGTATGTTTGACTAAACTATCCTACAGGAGTAATCAATTTTACGCTACGTGTCCGCTAGAAAAAAACTTCACTCCGGTTAATGGGATCATCCGCTTAATCAGACCCCTTTGTACGAGTATTGATGCGGTCTGACTGAACTGCTTCTACTATGTTTTACAAACATCTAAAAGATAATTACATTTAAATAATTATTCTTACATATTTGTATTCACAAAGAGACTCTGTTTGCATAACTCCTGATAGAAATAATTTCATAATTTTCTTTTAATATTAATTAAATTACATATTACTTCTATCTAAATTTTCTGTCCTTAAAATCGAAAAAGTGTGACAGCAAATAATTTGTAACCAAATTAAATAATAACAACAATTTTAGCATGTAACTTTGATGTTCAATTTTGCTGAAAAAATATTTAATAATTTAATTGAATGAAACATTTTAAAGTGAAAAATTTACTAAATACAATTGTAAATACCTATATAATATATTTATTTTGATTACTTCAAATTCAAATGTTTAAATACCACAAATGAATGGCAAAGCAATTTTTTCAATTTTCAATGAAAAATATAACCAAATGCTAATCTGTTATTCATTCAAGATAAAATATTTGGTGGAGTGAAATTTAAATAGATCTGCTATTCATTTATATTTTATAATATAACTGTGCAAAGTTTATAAAACTATAACATTTGCTGATGGTTAAAACGTAATGGAATATTTCATGATATTCAATCACAAATTTAAATTTCAATAACTTAGAAGATAACTTAAAAAATTAGAGTAAAAATTTTTACAGTAAAGGTTAACATGCTTTCTTCCATGTCATAGACAATAGAAAAATAGGTGAAACTATTAAGAAACAATCATAACATGCCTCATCTTATGAAGAAACACAGATGTAATATAATATAGATACCAAATAATTTTTTCATAGCTAATTAAATTTTTTATTTTTTTTTATAGCTAATTAAAAATTAATTAAGGCTTAGTTATTATTATTAAGCGATTATTAAGAGTAGACTAAGGTGAAAAAGGTAAATGCTGGAAAACATGGTTGTGTTTTTGTAGTGTAATGTAAACAAACTCAGAAAAATGTTTGCATTACAAAATTTCAAAATTGCATTTTTTATTAATAAATTCAATTTCAACACTTTGAAACTACTAATAATGTATGAATGAATAAATCTCTCTCTCTCTCTCTCTCTCTCTCTATACCTTTTTAAATTTTAATTAATTTAAAAATGGCCAAAACATTAAAAATACAATCACCAGAACATTCCATCCACCCATCCATCCATAAAACAATAATCTATTATATTATTAATTATATTATATAATATTATAATTATAATGTAAAATTCAGCTGTAATAATTATTAATATGCAATTAATATCGATATAACAAGGTAAGCTAAATTTTGCCAAATTAGTAGTTAACTTTTACCTGATTGCATATTGGCGTGTTAGCATTTATATATATTTATTTCAAAAATAACACGTGAGGAATATTTGGCCACTTATCAACAGACCCAGTAAAACCTGGACTTTCCAAAAAGTTTATTTGTTTACCTTTACGGAAATACAATCACAGGTTGGAAAAAAATGTCGGTAATTTCAACGGTCTAAGAATTTCGTCAGATATAGTTTTTATCGGTTTTGGGTTTTTATAAAGAGAAATAACTTTGAGCTAATGTCTGTTAACACAATTGGGTTGCAGCAAATTAATTTAACGTTGTAAAAATGTTTGTAATCTTTTATAAAAAAATGCCTAAAATACCATTCAATAACAAAAACAATTTCATATTATATACATAGTTGCACATTTAATTGGATGTTGATTCTGTTGATTCTGTTTGATTGAATGTCGAAAACTTACTATTAATATTATTTATTTATATTATATGACGATCTAGATTTGTTTTATAATTGATTGATTAACCATGGACATTAAAAATTAAATCAAGTGGCAGCTGAATAGTGATTGCGAGTGATTATATGAAAAAATAATGTTGTGAACAGCAAAATTTTCTTGGAAAACGATCTTTTTATTGATATATTTTTGATGTCTACAAAACCTAAGAACGAAAATTCAATCAGTATAATATAGTTCATGTGAGACATATGACAGATTTTTCACCCGTGATTCTCAGGTAATATACCGACTCGGTTTAAACACATTCCTGAAAACCAAAAAGTTTGACAGAAAGAACTTGCTCGTAGTAGAATAAATTTTCCGGGTTGATGGTTCGTACTTTAGTCTCGTTGTGGTCTGTTTTTTAGTGATAAAATTTCATGATCTTATTACTTATTAGTTTTTCAGAAATGAGACGCAAAGATTGCTGCCAAACATTAATTGTGAAACGCTAAAGACTACCTACACCACTACACTACACTACACTATCTATATTCTAACCCTAACCCTAACCCTATATGACTATACTAAATACTTCAGCAATTAATTAAATTTAATTTATTTTAATCTTTCTTTATTGCACTGCCTACGGCTCTACACTAGCCGTAACTGTATAAAATAAACATAAGGTATATGTATTTATATAATATTATAACATAACTAACGTAACAAACAGTGCTAACAAGCACCAACTAACATTGATTAACAAGTAACAAAACAACCATAACCATACAATACAAGTGTCCTTCTTGACTTGCTTTTGTGTTTTTATACTTTATTAAATAACTTTTTTATAAAATTTAAAATATCAAATCTTTTTTTGTAAAAAAATTCCAAAATAAATTTGTAACATAATTAGGGGATAAGAATCAATTAATGTATTTAATTAAATAACTTTTCTATTTTATTTTGATTCATTTTTCTATATATTTTTTCTTATTTTAATTTCAAACTTTATTGATTTGTTAAACTAAATTAATTAAACCTTTATAATTTAAAAGCATTTTCAAATTTCAAAAACATAATGTATAAAAAGTTTTGTTAAGTTGTTAACCCACACCGTCTTCTTATTTATTGCTACAATTTAAATTTTTTATTCAATTATCATGGATGTTAGATTGCATTTGAATTTATCTTGAACAACATTCATGACAATAATAATGTAACAAAATCTATTTATTTTCAACGAAATTTCTTTCTGGTCAATCAAATATCCTATCTATTCTCATTTTAGCAGTCATGTGTAATAGTGAATAGATTCTAGCCAAATATAAAGTTTATAATAACTTTTATAAACTGTTTAAAAATCATGATTCCTTATCAGAAAGCTCCAAAATGGATGAAAAATTAGATTGTGAAAAATCTAAATTGATCAAATCCAATGAAATCCTGGAAGCCATGGCTTTTGATGGTGAAGTAAGAGATTTAAACAATGAAAATGACATTGAAATGAATAATGTGACAAGCAACAATGGGATCTCAGATGCTGCTGATGATGTTAGTTTCTATTTTCTTAAATTTTGAATTTCTCTTTATTTACAGTTCACTCACCTTTTTATTGTTGAACTAGCTGGAGTTATTTATACAAGTTTATTGAAAAAAGTTGCACTAGATATTATTTATAATTTTTCTTATAAAAATTTGTATAAGTTTTTTAATGTTCAATGTTCATATTGTAGAAAATATTTGTAAACATTTTTAGATTTAATGTATTTATTGCTAAATAATTTTTTAAACAAAATTGATACTTATAAATGACTTGATCTGATAATTTTAGTATTAAAAATTAATACAATTTACCATTTTTGTCTAAATTAGAAAAAGATAAAACAATCATAGAAACCATGAAAAGTGGAAACAAAAGGTGTTTTTTTAACTCTAATAACAAGTCAGGTTTCAGGGTGTGAAACTTTTAAATGAACAAGTTGCATTCTTGTTTATTCTAAATATCATGAAAAGATCTCAAAAAGATCTTCACTCCTTATATTTTCAATAAATGTTAAAAATGAACTATAACTAACTGTACAGAGAATATTATAGCAATCAGAACATAGGAAATGACTAGTTACACAGATATATTGAATAAAGACGACCATTTGACAAATCTTTGACAACCATTTTTTTTGTTCTCATCAAATGGTTTTTTTTTTTGGAAACGTTTTCAAAATTAGACAGCTGATAGATGAACCTATCTTACATGTATTAGGTTACAGAAGACACCATTGGTCAAAATGCGATCAACACGTTAAATTTGTATAGAATCATTTTCGTTAACAGTGTTAATAGTACACAATCAAAATTAAATGTTCACTAAATATCGCAAAATAAAATTCAAAAAAAGCAAGTTTGTCAAACGAATCACGTTAATATGGAATTTTAATAATTGACACACGAGTTACTAATTAAATATTAAACAACGCAAAATTATTTACAGGCGACATCAATATTTGTCAATCCATAAACTAATTTCTTGATTAAGAATCATCCCAATAGCTTTTATTGTCATCAGATTACTGAATAAAAACCATTTGTTAATACTGTTAATATTGATGTCATTTTTTTTGCTGTGTAGGTAGTTTTCTGTATTAATAGCCGTATTGCATTTCTCGGTGGTATCGAAGACTACACGCGTGCGGAAATACTTTTGAATCAATCTTTTGCTGTAATTTTTTAAAATTTGAATCCCTTCGTTGCATGTGCTTGTATATAAGGTATATGGCGTGTAGCTTGTTTTAACGATGCGATTACAGAGTCTGCTAACAACTTCAGTGGAGGTTCCAGCGGACGGTTAACACAGCAAAAACGAAACTTTTTTCCAGCACAGTTTAGTGTGTTAAAAGCTATTACTTACTATATTTAATGATAAACGCGACAGCGTTTTCTGAATGTTTATAATTTTTTTTCTTATTTGAGTCGAAGTTTTGTATTAATTTTATGAATTTTATGTAAAAAAAAGTATCATGAAAAAGATTGTGTACTGTGACGTTTTTTTGTTTTCCGTTCGATCATACATGAAATTAATTTTCATTTTGAAAGAAATGAGTGTTCTTTTTGTGCCTGCTGCTGCTGTCAGGAGGACGATAGTATTGAATTAACTCAGAATTGACGTGTATTGAATTAACTCAGAAGTCATTTTTTGATATTCATACTGCTATAACAGTATTGAGTATGAATATAAAAAAAATGACTTTTGAGTTATTCAATCAATCAAACACTTGTTGAATATTACCACTTTTCAAATACTACAAAGTGTTAAAGATCGGGTTTTGTAAAGGTCCTAAAAGGCTTAGACACTAGAAAGAAGAACTCTATATTGCGTATCAACGATTTAGCAATGGGTGTGTTTGACAGGTGTGTTAACCTTCTGCGTGTAAACGCGGACATTTTTTTAAAAGGTGGCCTCCTGTTATATGTTGTGTACGTAATTCTGTGATGTAATTCCGCTACGATATGAAGAGTTTTTTCATCTACTTTTCAAACAATCCAATCTTTTGTTCAATGCTGCATATTTCATAAAGATGCATCTACGAGTATAGGTCTGGTTTGTTATTAAGTTGGTAGGCCAACTCGTCGACTAACTAATACTAATTAATAATAATTTTCTGTAAGAAATATTGTTGAAATTTTGAATTCATTTAACCAATCTGAAATGAATCTACGCTTTACCGACTTGCGAAAAATACACCACTTTAAAATTTGATAGAAGCAAGTACGATCTTCATTATACTTAATAATGTTAATGGAAAAATTAACGTTTTCTCAATTAGGCTTTGTTTGTATAAAATAATCATGGAAAGCTGGAGCTTATGACGATCGCGTGCATCCTGCCAATTGTTTCTTCTCTATGGAAATATCGTCGTTTAACATAAATAATGCAGGCTGATGTGTGTTGTGAGTGTGCTTTGTAAGAAACCATATGATAAACACACGGTCTAGCTGATTTTAAATTTTGATTGGAACGATTTGTTGGTTATTAAAAATAAATTGCTTTTTAATTACGTCAAATGGTTATTAGAATATAAAAATAAATTTATATCAATCCTTCTTATGGCTTCCTGTTTACAACCTGGATTAAATTCTCGAGTCAATAGCACTGCTATTGCTAGCTCAGACGGTAATTCAGTTAAGGACCATTTAATTAAAGATTCTGATAAAAAAGATCAGAAATCGGTCAAAGTGGTTTTTGCAGACAATCCTTTGAAACCAGCATATTCAGTTGAACTGGTAATTCTGTAACGTTAATTAACATTTACACCGTCTATCTGTCAAATTAATCAAATTATTGATTATCATTATTTATTATTATAAATAATTATAGGCGTATCTTTGTGTGTTTGTCAATAATCTGCACTGAATTTTTTTATATTTTGTAGACATGCTCGTGATGATTCAATTCATGAATCATTTCATTTACTATTTTCACTCTTATATTATTTCTTTATGAATTGTTATTATTAATTTGTTTGAAAAATTGTTGTTACCTTTTTCAGCTTACTTACTAATTTCAAATTAGTAATTTGATTGAACCAGTATATAATTATGTTTCGGAAAATATTTAAGAATAAATTATATTTTTGTCTACAAACTTGATAAGTCATCAGTTTGGTAACATGAACTTGCAGTTGCAGGTGTAATTTTTGAGTTTTTAAAACTAGGAATGTGTTATAAAATAAAATGAAATTGAAAATGGTCCATTTAAATTTAAAGTGATCATATATAATTATATATAATATATATTATACACGTATTGTTAGATTGTATCTTGTTATATTATTTTTTCTTTAATTATTCCTATAAAGTATAATTGTTATAAAACATAAAATGCAGATGGAAATGCAGTAGAATACAATGTTATTTGTTTATAAATTATTTATGGTTTCGCTTTTTTGATCGTAAAATAACATCACTCAACCAAAAAAATATAAATTGTCAAGCTATAGAATTTATTTGTTAAAATATTACTTTGAAATCTAATTGGGTTGATGTTAAGTAGATAAAATGGTTTTCAAACCGCCATCTGTAGCATATTTGATATGAATAAATAAAATTTCAATGCACTAAAGGGGAATTTGTCCGGTGAGCCAAGAAGTCCAGAGCAGAATGTAACTAACAACGACAGTAACAACCCAGTCAACATAGATGAATATTTGGATGAGTTGGATTTGAAGTATGGAGCAGGTCATGTCATTCAACTCTTCATCCCTGTTTCACTCTGCATGGCTGCCGTCGTGTGTGGCATCAACTTTATTGAGTTCTACAATGTTAAGGATGTCTACTTGTCAGTTTTTTTTATCATCATGGTTAATTTATACAAATTCTTATATTTTTATTGAAAATTGAAATTAATCTTTTTTAAAGTTACTATTTGAATTAGTGTTTCATTGAAGTTGCATAGCTCATTTTTCATAAAAAAATAACATAAGTAATAATTTATAATTTGTCTCTGCAGGATGTACACTCCATTTGAGCAGTCAGTCACTCCAGAGACGAGCACGGGAACGAGAATCTGGCAGTCCCTGGCCAATGCCCTCATCATGCTGTCCGTGGTCATTGTTATGACTGTTGTACTCTTGCTTCTATACAAGTATCGCTGCTACAAGGTGTGCGTGTATGTTGTTCATTGTCGTAATGGCGTTCATTAGTTTTTATGATAGTACCAAAATTGTAAGCTCTGTCAAAATATGTTAAATTTGTCTTCGTTGAAAATCATTTTAGATTAAACATTCTGAAATCACTAGCCTAATATGTAGAGAAATTAATTTTGTACCATGTGGCAGTTCATTGCAGGATGGCTGTTCATGTCGTCATTCATGCTCCTCTTCTTCTTCACATTTATCTTCTACAGGTCTCAGTCAATTTTTTTTTTGCTAATTTTTTCGATTTTTTAGGTTTGGAAAAATAACGTTTACCTCTACTTCCGTTTTAGTTCAATTGTTTTTTTTGCATAGTTGAAAATTTAAATTACACCCTTCCATTTTGCACTGCCACAAGCTATATTAGACATGTAACCAGATGATTCACAACAAGTTTCCACATGCTTGAACAAAAGTTAACCCAATCCAATAACCAGTCAATACGTCAACCTAATAATCTACCACGACCATTCCACTTACCAAAACACACGCACACACGCACGTACACTCGTACGCACGCACAGTGAGTTATGTCGCACGATGAACATCCCAATGGACTATATAACAACCGCGGTCTTCCTCTGGAACTTTGGAGTACTTGGAATCATGTGCATCCATTGGAAGGGTCCTCTTTTGCTACAACAAGTTCCGTCTTCTTAAATCCATTTCAATTTTTTAGTGGTTGGCTGTTCGTATTTTTTTGACTTTTCAAGTCAGTCTGTTTGTATGGGGTGGAAGTTTTATTTATAAATTTATCGTTGTCACCATGATAACCGGTTGTATCACTTTAAAAATATTCATTACACCACCATCATTTTAGTTCTTCTTGATCGTTGTGTCGGCGTTGATGGCCCTCACTTTCATAAAACATCTTCCTGATTGGACAACGTGGGTTCTCCTGGCTGTTATCTCAATATGGGGTTGGTTGGTTAGTTCTTTGGTTGGTTGGTGGAATGATTTGGTTTGTTGGCTGGCTGGCTGGTTGGTTGGTTGGTTGGTGGGTTGGTGGAATGATTTGGTTGGTTGGTTAGTTGGTTGGTTGGTTAGTTGGTTGGTTGGTTGGTTGGTTGGTTGGTTGGTTGGTTGGTTGGTTGGTTGGTTGGTTGGTTGGTGGAATGATTTGGTTGGCTGGTTGTTTTGTTGTTTTATTGGTAGATTAATCAATTTATTAATCGTTTTGATTTTAGGTTACGATTTCTCTAGGCTGTTCAGTTCACTCAGAAAACGTTTTTATAAATTTGATTAGCTAGATAAACTGAATTGAACATTGTATAGAAATTCAATCAACACCTACTTAACTTAGAGTTAATTGATGATTACATCATATAATCTGTTCACCCAATTTACAATGCACTTATGACAAGCTGGACATTTATTCACTATAGTGTTTTGTACTATGAATTCAATTAGTTGGGAGGTACAAATTTGGTTACTGAGATATTTATCAAGTTACTGAGATTAATTAAAAAGAATTTTTTTTAGAATGACCTAACATGACATGATATAACATGACACGTGACCTCAAATCACATGACCTCACATGACGTCACACAGACTTGGTGGCAGTACTCGCACCTAAGGGACCACTTAGAAGTCTGGTGAAGTTGGCTCAGGAAAGGAACGACCCAATATTCCCTGCCCTCATTTATTCAAGTTCGTGTGTGGCTGGTGGTGATTGTGATGAAGACGATGATGTTTGGCTGTGATGATGATTGCGACAAAGGTGATAATACTGGTGAACGTTATGTTATGTAGAACGTAAAAAAATCTTTATAGTTTGTTGTCGTTAATAAGGCTGGCTGCCCTATGCATGTATCTTTTAAATGGCTTGGGTTTAGATAATGTGCTTATTTGATCTCACAGCAGTTTATTTTTGGTGACAGGTGTCATCCAATCATTCAAACTTGTTATTACGCCTCCTACAAAAATAATTTTTCAATTTTTAACAGCAACTATGGCCTGGTTGGTTGAGCCAAGTAGTGGTGCTTATGAAGCAGACAATGATGGAGGAGCTGATGCTGAGGCTGATGTAGATGGTGAGGGTGATAATGTTATAGAAATTCACGATGATCAGGTTCCTGAAGGTCAGATTCCTGAAGGTCACGTTCCTGAAGGTCACGTTCATGAAGGTCACGTTCCTGAAAGTCACGTTCCTGAAAGTCACGTTCCTGAAGGTCACGTTCCTGAAGGTCACGTTCCTGAAGGTCACATTTTATCAAGTGATAAGGCAGGGACAAGTGCTAATGTCGATTATGTTAATTTGGAACATTTTACCACCGAAATCACGATTGCAGGTAAATATGATTTAAATGTAATAGACATTCGCTGTAAGCAGACATTCTTTTCTCTATTATTGGCTATTTGTATTTTATAATTTGTATTTTATAATTTGGATTAAGTAATTTGGATTATGTAATTTGGATTATGTAAATTACAATTTCAACTCATCAGCTGAAAAGAAATCAGATGAGCCAGATCAACAAGAGCGGCCAGCTGAAGAGCAGGGAGAACCGCAAGCGAAACAAAAACGTTCAAAACATCGACAACATTCGAAACAACAAAACCGTCCCAAAGGACCATCACAACAGCAGAATGAACAACAGCAGATAGGACGACTTGGACATCCAGAATCATTTGAACAGTTTAAACAACAAGTTGCCCGTCTGGACAAGATGGAGGACTGTTAGTTGTTGTGTTGAGTCCATGATGAGAGTTGTCCTTTTCTTATGCTTTATCACATTGAAATATTTTTTTGTTAATACAGTTCGTTCATGTCACTTTCGTGTCAAATGATGTTTTAATTATTTTACAATAATGATTTCAACTGTTTATTGTTTTATTGTTATATAAAAATAATTTCTAAGATTAACTTCTCCATCGATTCAATGACACAATAGCTGGCGTCAAGTTAGGATTGGGTGACTTCATCTTCTACAGCGTGCTTGTTGGCAAGGCATCCTTGCTGGGAGACTGGAACACCACTGTGGCTTGTTTCATTGCCATTCTCATGGTTGGTCTCGATTAGAGAGGGTTATTACAATTTTTAAGAGTGATGCTCATTTTCGCTTAGTAATATAATTACGCTCCTCTTACCACCAAAATAAATGATTATTATACGTATGTCTTGTCTATTCACCCGTTTGACATTCATTCATTCATTCATCCATCCATCTACCGCCGTCATGAAACAGGGCCTTTGTTTCACCCTCTTGTTACTGGCCTCATTCCGCAAGGCCCTCCCTGCACTCCCCGTCTCCATAGCGTTCGGTCTCATTTTCTACTTCGCCACCAGTCAAGTTGTCCTTCCTTTCATGGTCATGTGTTCTCTCAATCAAGTCTTCATATAATCCGTCTTGTTGTTGTTGTTGTTCAATGTTCGACTGAATGTTATTTTGGAATATATTACGTTGAAGGCTGTGTAAATGCTTGCTGTTGGTCCTTAACATGACATTATTTGATATGGTGAATTGTGTTTAGTTGTGCCACTACGTGTGACGTTTTGTAATTTCTTCTTAATATGTACGATGGGTTGGTAGGTTCGTTTTGAAATGGTCATCATTAATTAAATCGTCAACGTTTCAAACAAACCATCATGATTCAAATTCTCTTTCTTGACTTTTAGGCACTGCATGTTTTTTTTGTTTCCATTCACAACAATTATTTCGCTGATATAATTTGGTTGCTTTGATGTTGTTTCATGAAACAAATAAATAAGTGAGGTTAATTTTATTAACATCGATATAAAAACCATGGATATATATATATAAATACCCATGAATATATATCCACATATCCACGGATAAAAGCGGTTGAATATTGAATTTTTCAGATTATCTTGTCTATCGTTTTTCTTTTGTCCTTGATAATTCTAACTCCTCTATCCTTACTTTTTGGGTACCTCGCGATTTTATCCTTTGTCTTCGGAAATAGCGCCTTACAAACTGATTGATTGGTTGATCTTGAAACAGTTTTATAAAAGATATCGAAATTATGCTAACGGCGTAAATTATTATGATAGTATGTTATTTAGCTGCGTTATCGATGTAATGAATTTTCAGCACACTTTGTGAGCATGACTTAAGACCTAAGATTTCATCATTGTACATTCAAGAAAACCTTTTTGTGCCCTACTTCACGCAAAATTTACGTTTTATTGCAATTTTTATGTGATTAATTACATCAATGACAATGGGGGCGTTTCAATTTTTAAAAGCCCGAGCAAAGGTTCATAAATGGTTGTAGAAAAATATTCAAGGTCTTTGATAGCAAATTTTTTTTGTTTACAATTTCATAATATTGTATACATTGTTTTAGTTAATTGTAGCGATTATGTTTTCATGGAATGATTTCTTGCTGAATTAATTGTCGATAAAATTGGAGACAAACATTCAATCAGAAAATTAAATTTGTTGATTTCTAATGGCGGCCTCTAGTCGAGAGACGGACACGACGATATGGCTGAACAACAAGTTGGGGTCCACCGACGATCTCTGGTCCGGCAACTCGATTTGCTCGCAGCTGTCGAAAGATCGTCTGCTCACAATCATCGACTGCTTCCACACGCTGCAAGCCCACGTCAAAGTTAAATTACTACTCTCATTCATTCATATCTCCAAGAGGATCAGCGACAATATGGATGTATGTTATTAAAATTAAAAAAAAATTAAATATTAATTAATTATTTCTTATTTTATTCTACACAAATAATAAAACAAAAAGAAAAATTTTTTTTTCTAGCAAATGAGAATTTGTATTTCAAAAAACAGCGATTGATTACTCAGTAATGCTATGTATGTTGTTAATAAGAAATTTCAGTTCTACTTTAACTTTACTATTATAATTATATAAAACTAAAATTCAAAAACAGATAAAAATTAATTTTAAAATTTTATATGCATGAGAGATGAGACTATTATCATATTTACTTTATTACACATTACCCAATCTCTTAATTTTAATCAAACCCAGTCCAATTAGTTTTTGGTTGAATGCATAGATAAAGAACTTATTAAACTACTATTTAGTCATTTAGTGACTGACAACTAACTACAATGGTGATGGCTAAATATTATATTTTAGCCCAGTTGGTAAACTAGGTAAACTGAAGCTAAAGCCACTTAATTAATGACCTTCAAACAAACTCTAAACTAAAAATGGCCAAATGCAATATAATTAAATCGCTAAATACTAAACATTAAACAAGTAATAAACTTGAATAAACTAATTAAAACTATCCCAATTTATAGATTAGTCATAATTCTCTTTCTAAAAAACACTCAATGAAACTAAATTAAATCTCTCATTGGCTTTTGATTTTTGTGATTTCTAAGCACTAAAAGTACAAAGCTAAAGATGTACACCATGAAGAATTTAAAAATATTACCCCAAATAAAAAATTAATTTATAATATTTATGGGTTTATGTGTACCCACAAATGAGTATGCATTTTTTCAGTCATGGTTTTCACTGTAGCATCTCTTGGGCTGGGTTGTCTCATGGCAGTTTAAAACTTACAAATTGAAACCCTCGTACTCATTACAATAATTTATTCACTGACCTATCCACCAGTGGAAACAGGAGTTGGAGGAGTTGTACAGGATTGCGTGCAATGACGCGGACCTCTGGGTTTCGACAGTCGCCGACATCTTACGGACGTTCCCATCGACTGGCAACTTGAACGCTGAGGTCAAGGACAACCACGTCATCTTCCATGAAATCATCAGTGACCTCAGGAAGTTAGGTCTGTCACGTTCCAGTGCTGGCTCTGGATTGGCTTGATTCAAATCTTCAAATCTTTTCTCTTTTCAAATTAGTAGAAGCCGTTTTATTAATGTGTTGAGTATGAGTTTTTTTAATATGAGTGACACAAAAATTATGGATTATTTACAAGGGGAATTGATTTAAAAATATATTAGTGAAAATATTTGTAATGTAGTAAACGTATTTTACATTACTAATAAACATACTTTAGCAATATAAAATATAAACTGCTTCATATAATTGGGTCCAATTATTTTTCATTATCATTCGATTATTTTTAATTTTAATAATTAAACTATTAAGTCATTTCACCACCTTGAATCACATGCTTAATAACTTGTGCAGTGAGGAAGGGACAGGATGTGAGTATGTACCCACTGGAAGGGTGCTACCTCAGTCGGAGTGCCCTCATCTCAGTGGCTGGTCCCTTACAACCCCCAGCCAAACATTTTGCCCTCAAAAGAAGACCAAAATCTGCTGCCCTCCGTGTAGAACTCCTACAGAAATGTTTGTGCATTAATTTTTTTTTATTTTTTACTCTTCTATTCCTGTGACTATCTTTTATTTTTCACGTTATGTTGAATATTCACCATGCATATTGTTACGCACCAGATGATTGTGATGCGTGCATGTTCAATTCTCGCGTTATTCTCAAATGATCAATGCAATCATCTGTCGCTTTGGTTTCGCTTATCAAATTGTTAAGGATGACTGCAAGATGAACAACAACAACTGCTACTACAACGAAATCTTATTATCAATACAACGTTAACAACAACGGTTAAAAAATTACGTTTTAAGAATGTCATGCATTTGGTTTGTTGGTAGGTTTTTCTCCGTCGTGTTTATATATATATATAGATATACATCGGTGAATGGCTGATTATTGAGGATTAAGTTGTAATAGCCACATATGTGAAGGTGTTATTATTGGCCAACCAACACTACCGCCATGACCATTATATTTTTAGGATTATAGTTTGTAGGTGATTGTTTTATGATATTATATCAAATTTTGTTTTTATCTTATATCATGATAACTTGCATCATTTTTTTTCATACCACTGTCGTCATCGTCATCATCAATAATATAACCATCATCATATCATCACTACAGTGGTCACTATCATCTCCACCATTACCATCTTCATCATTACCATCATCATCTCTATCATCATCATCATCACTGTATCATCATCATCATCACTGTATCATCATCATCATCATCACTGTATCATCATCATCATCATCATCACTGTATCATCATCATCACTGTATCATCATCATCATCATCATCACTGTATCATCATCATCATCACTGTATCATCATCATCATCATCACTGTATCATCATCATCATCATCACTGTATCATCATCATCATCATCACTGTATCATCATCATCATCACTGTATCATCATGATCACTGCAATCATCATCGTTATCACTATCAATGCCAACATGGTCACAGACTTCATCTTCATCACTATAATGATTTTCACTACCATCATCGCTATTATCGCCGCCACCACAGCCACAGATGCTGCCAACAATTTGAAGAAGAATGTAAGCACCTACCCCGTGAAGATGAGGAGTTTTGCTAAGAAAATGAATGATGACAGTTAGTGTGTGTGTGTGTGTGTGTGTGTGTGTGTGTGTGTGTGTGTGTGTGTGTGTGTGTGTGCATGTGCATGTTTTTGTGTGTTTGGGTATGTATGTGTGTTCGTTTGAATGTATGAATGCTTTTGTGTATAGATATCAAACTCATCAGGTTTTTTGTAAAAAACGCTTTGTTTGGCATACAAAATATAAGATATGCTGTTCCACAAGGGTAGGTTTTAGGCCCGACATTATTCACTTTATATGCATGCACATGAAGTCTTTGGTATGATTAAATCTTTCTACTTTGCAAATCAGGCTTCAGCAGATGATATGCAAATGATGGTTGGTCAGTTGCGAGTTTGGTGAGCTGAAAACCAGACAGCAGTAGTTACTGTCTGGATTGATAACTAACAATTGACCGAAACTTAATCAGGATGAGACAAAAATTTATTGCCAATGGTGGCAATCTGGCGACAACTTTTTCATAACGAATATATCTTCTCTGTGTTTCGGTAAAGTTACAGTCACGTTATCTTCAAACGTTTCAGGTTTGGGCCTCAATATTGATTCAAAGAACCATAATCCTAACCCTTAGAATTCCAGGCGCTGTCGTATTCGGTAGAGATTACATTTCCAATTCTAAAACAACTCCACTGGTTGAATGTTGACAGTCGTCTTATCTTTAAAATTTAAATTCAAATGCATCAGAAGTCAGGCACAAAAAATGCTTGAATGATATGATGTCGTCTAGAGTACCAAATTAAATGGATTGAATTTTCTCTGATTTATATAGCAGTCTATAGGAGTCATTTGAAGATAGGATCCAGAAATTTTGCTGTTTTTAGCAATCTCCCAATCACAATCATCACCACCATCATCACAATCATTACCATCATCACAATCTTTACCATGATCACCACAAAAGCTCCGATGCGAGGAATATTGAGCCAGGTCTCCAGTGGTTTCGCATCAAAGTCTAACTCTGTGATTGGTCGGTTCACTGGCTTGTCGTCCAATCAGAAACGAGATATCAACAATCAGAAAGAGGGTGGCATCAAGGTTGGTTTGATTGGTTAGTTAATAGGTAATTGGTTGATTGATTGATTGATTGATTGATTGATTGATTGATTGATTGATTGATTGATTATTTGATTGATTATTTGATTGATTATTTGATTGATTATTTGATTGATTAATTGATTAATTGATTAATTGATAAGATTGAAACCTTGATTGAATGATATAAATGTAAAATCAGTACTGTTATTTTCGTTGTTAATGTTGTTTTTATTGTTGCGGTTGTTGTTGACATTAACGTTATTATTGTTACGATGATCAAATGTTGTATGTTGTTGTAGTTATTGGAGTTTGATGCATTACCGTTGAGTGCCAAGGAAACAAAGAAGAGGAAGAAGATGGGTCAGTGTTGTTTTTGTTATGTTGTTGTTGCTGTGTTGTTGTTGTTGTTATGTTGTCGTTGTTGTTGTTGCTCTTATGTTGTGCTTATTTTATTTATTGGCTTATGTATTTAAATGAAAAAAATCATCATCATCATCACTCTCTTTAGTTTTATCATCATAATCATCATCAACATCATCGTCATCGTCAACATCATCAGCATCATCATCACTTTCACGTGTAACGAAATTTAAATATGTTTTTTTTTTTTAATAAAAAGTTTTGATTCAACATATCAGCTTGCCTTCACATTTGTGAATGTATATGTGTGTATTTAATATGTGTGCGTGCGCGCGCTTGTGTGTGTGTGTGCGTGCGTGCAATCTCTTTGCATGCTTGAGTGCTTGTGGAAGTGTGATTGTTACATTAATCAACCTCATATTAATGAATTGGTTGATTGATTGATTTGATTGATTTACTTGATTGATTTGAATGAGTAAGTGAGTGAGTGCATAAGTGAGTGAGTGCATAAGTGAGTGAGTGCATAAGTGAGTGAGTGCATAAGTGAGTGATACCACTGATAGTACAACTCACACATGCAGAGCTGGAAATGCAAAAGACCGCAAAGAAGGAAGAGCAAGCCGCATTATCATCGCCGACCAGCATCGCCATCACCTCGCCCACACAGTCGACGTCAACTTCAGCAGCCTCACAATCGTCATCTTCAACCATGCCCGATTATGCCGCTGGGCTTCTGGCTGTCACATCATTTGATGTTAGATTGTTTATCATATCATACCATATGTTAATCTGGTAGCTCAGTAGTTGGAAGTGATGGCTTTTTAGTTTTTTTTTCGTTCTCTGAGTCCTGCTTCAAATGCAGTGTAGCCCTTGAGAAGTTTTCTCTATTGTTTCACGTAATGTGATGATATTTTTCTGTTGAAATTATTTTTAAGATTGTAGAAGTATTGAAATAGACAATAGTAGTGGTCTGTAGGATTTTTGTTGTGAGAACTTTGGCTTATAATACAGACAACTCACAACTAACACACTGCAACACAAAGCAATGACAACAAACAACAACGACACAGCTAACAATGCAGAACGAACACAAAAGAGGCATCGACAACAAACAAACAACACAAACGACGTCAGACACAACACACTTATGATGATATTTTTTTTCATTGATATGTACATACACGTACAGAGTCTTGCCACGTCAACAGCAACAAACCTCATGAACCAGACTGTCACGCCAACATCAACATTGAACAATCTCACGTCCCTGACTGTCAACAACCTGATCACGTTACAAGCAGTTCAACAACAACAACAACAACCACCACAACAACAACTAACGACGTCCTCCCTATTGTCGCCAAACATCATCCTACCATCACCAACTAGCAACCCACAGACCATCAGATTCACAGTTGTGCCATGTATGTCGTTGTTGTTGCTTATTGTCACTGTTAAATTTGTTGTTGTTGCATCGTCGTTGTTGTTGTTGTTGTCGTGCGATGTGTGCTTGTTGCCAAGTTTAATTCGTTGGTTAGTTCCTTATTGGGGTTGTTACTTTTCCATTTGACTGGCTGGCATCTGTGTGAAACTTTTTCTGAAATTTTTTCATTAATGAAAATTTTATACTGATAACCAACTAAAATTATGTTTTTTCCGAAATTCTGTAACTGTTTGTGTTGAGATGTACTTCATATTTTTTTTTGTTTCACTGATAAATAATGCTAATGGCTAATTAATTATCCGTGCAGCTTCAGCGGCCCAGCAACAGCAGCAGCAGATTTTCTTGTCAGCACGACAACCTCATCAACAAATCAGGCAGATAATCCTAACCACTCCTGCTTTAAATATGCAGCAGCAGCTGCAACAGCAACCGCAGCAGCAGCTGCAACAGCAACCGCAGCAGCAGCTGCAACAAACAATAGTCCTGCGACCAGCCAACCAGCTACAACAAACAGCTGCAACAACGATGAACAAAATGTTGTCAGCAAATAATCCCATTGTCATCAGAGCTTCTGCCTCGTCACTCAACAACATAAACAACAACAACAACAACGCTATTATAATCAATAACATCAACAACCTTAATAGCATCAACATAAAAAATCTTAACATTAAGAGCATCAACATGAATGTGCACAACAACAACAACAACAACACAGCAACTAATGCAACTAATGAAGTAGTTCAATTTGCTCCTACCAACTTATCAACCAACAACACCATCTCATCAGCTAATAACAACAACACCGTCATCATCAACAACAACAACAAAGCAACAATCCTCAACACGCCAAGACATGTAATAAGAACCTTGCAGGTAAACCACTTCTGTCTCCTTTCTAAACCTCTGTTTTAATTTAAATGATTTTTTAGGTAATTTTGTTCATACTTTTTTACTGATCATCGTGAAACATGTACTTCTCCCAAACTGATGATGATGATGATGATGATGGCGATGATGATGACGATGATGACGACGATGATGGCTGTTATGAATTGGGGCATAGAAGAATTCTGTAGGCAACGAAATGCTTTTAAAAGTTAAGACTCAAATGGACCAAGTTGCAAGCAACTGTGCTGTTAAGTTAAGTTTTGGAATGTATGAATGAACAAATGAAGGAGCACTATACTTTGAGTTTGGTCATGTGTGCAAAGACCATCACACGGTCAATTATTTCTTTCATCGTCTTGACGTCATCTGACTAATAATCATTTGCCAAATTTCGTTTAGCCATTAGCTGCCGGTCAACCATTATCTAAACAACATCTACAACAACTTCAACAGTTGCAACTACAACAGCAACAACAACAGCTTTTACAGCAGCAGCAGCAACAATCAATTGCTACTACATCAACGGCAGAAGAGAGCCAGCCAAAAAAAGAACTCATTCTTACTGTAAGTTTGTTGTTGTTTTTTTTCATTACAATGTTGATGAAGTTGATAGGATCATATAATAAGCATGACAGTGATGATGTTTAAGATGATGCTAATGATGGTTGGATGATATTTGTTGGCGTGTTACATCTGCTGGATGACATAAAATGATTTTAATGTCAGTCTTATACTATGTTGCTACTACATGATAACCATTAATAATGCAACAATAATTTTGTTTTTTTTCAAAGTCCTTAAATAAATGTCATTCTGGAATAAAAACATATAATACGAAATATATATGTGTTGTTTATAGTCTATTTCACATGTGATGTAATCAATATGTGATGTGAAATAATGTAAACTGTCGTATGTTGTTTGTCGTTCATATCATTACGGTATATTTTATTCTTTATCATTGTACCTCCTTACATTCTTCATCATAACTGTTGTCATCATTTACCATGACATGACATGACTTGACATCCCATGACATGACATGACTTGACATCCCATGACATGACATGACTTGACATCCCATGACATGACATGACACAACAGCGTGAACAAGTGTTTGAAGCACAGGAGATGTTCAAGATATTCCCAAACATCACCAGAGCAGAGAAGGCACTCATTCTTGGATTCATGGCTGGCGCCAGAGGTTGCCCTCTAACTAATTTTACTCCTTTTATTGTTTGTTTCAGTTCATTTCAATTTGTATTTGTGAAAATAAGTTATTAAAAAATGAAGTCTCGATAGGTGATAGTTGTTAGCCATGCAAGCCTCTTTGACTACTATCTGTTTAATTATGTAAATGGATGACTAATTTTCTAAGTGGTGAAAAAATAGGCGAGTGTTTTAGATGGTTGTAGATCAATTAGCCATTTGGATATTTTTTTGAAAGAACATTTCTTGCGTACTTGAAGAAGTTCGAACAATTATTTGTGAGAATGATGGCGCTAAAATTACTGATGATAAAGCCATAACGATATCAAAGGACGGAAACAAAATGATGATAGCCGATAATGATTGATAAAAGATATTTAGCATCTTCCCATCTTCCCCTACCTTACCCCCACTGCAGACAACCCGTGCCCTAACCAAGGTCCGGTGCTGAACATCCGTCTCGGCGAGACCGTGGAGAGCATTGAGCAGCCGGACGGGGCGTTCCATCCAATGGTTGTGGAGACCCACCTGCAACTCAACTACTCGTCCGGAGAGTTCAAGCAGTTCAGGAAGATCAGAGATAGAGAGGTCGATGCTGAATGATGATGAATGGAAGATGGAGTAAGGAGAAGAAGGAGGAATGATAATGGCGGTGGTGATTGTGCTCGCAGCGGTGTGGCAGTGATGATGATGATGATGCCACTGTTGGGAATGCCTCAAAGCTATTTTTTTATTATGCTCATGGTGATAATCATGTTGACAATAGTAATTATTATTATTTTTTATATTTTTATTATGCTACCGTCATTATCATTATCATAATTGATGCATTTGTCAAGCTCATTGCACAGCTCGATCTAAAATGATGCTGGAAAATAATATTCTCTTCAACTGAAATGTCGCATTTAGATATTTATTTATACGTGGTGTAACATTATATTATGACATTTATGATCAATATGGTGGTTGTGATGTTTGTCTTACGTTTCTAACAAGCCTAAGATATATTTTGATGAGTTGATATATTCAACAGATGAATGATCATTTCCAACTATTGAAATGACGTTAATTCTGTCCTGATATGCTGTTGTTATTTTGTGTAGAACCTATTTTGTTTGACGCAGCAAATTTTTCATTCTAATCCAGTCCGATGTAAATTTGAATTGAACTTTATTAAAGATCAACATTCTAAATAAATATTTTCAGTGACGGCGTTGTATTGTGTTGTGTCTGTAAAAATCGCTCGAAACGTTGTATGTAATTTGAAAGGTTTAAATAAAGTAATTTTGTTAGAAGAGTATTCATATTTATAAATTTTGTTCATTACATTTTTAGCACTGGATATCAGTTTTCAACTGTTTTGCTCTTTACTTGCATCAGTTCAATGAATAAAATGTGAAACATGTGAGGGCCTTACTTACCTGAATGAATATTTGCTTTTATTTGTTTTTAAAAGTTCTATGGGCAACAATGTTTCATTAAATATTTTCAATTGATACAAATTTATTTAATATCAATTAATTAAATTTGCAAATATGATTTCTGAATGTAAGTTTTTCTTTACTTTTTTATAATTGTTTATTTTTACGAATTCGGCATTGATCTGCCTCCCAACTATAATTAATTCTTTCACAGATTTTTGGTTTTAAGTTTATAATAACATTTATATAAAATTTTTTACGGATTTTTGTTTGTTCATTTAAGTTTTAAAATTACACAGTTTTGGTTAATCTTCTGTTAATTTGATGCTAAAATATCAATTTGTAAACTGCTGTGCTAAAAAATTATTGAATTGGTTTTAGCACCAAAAATGTATTTCAGAAAGAGATGTTTTGAGTTATTTTGAAGGCTAGTTAGCTTATGAAGAGCTAGATTCGTGTCTGGAATTGTTACTTTTTGCATGCCGACCTGGTTCGACGCAAAAACTTCAGACTATCAATTCGGAAAGGCCTTGTGCGTGTGACGTGATGTTTGCACGCATAGACGAATTTGAACTCATAAGGAACGAAATATAAACTGTTCTAAATATAAACGAAGCAGCGTTATAATGTTCAACGTATAATTGTACTTTTTTAAAAATAAAAGTGCATGTTTTACAGCTTTTTATTATAAGATTTGTATAGTCTTCTCTTGTTGGATTCTTTTGTGCTATTTGTTCTTTTCAACAGGCTCGACTACAATGATGTATATGATGACTCCAGAAACCACTGCAGGAGGCCGGAATGAAAAACGGGCGATGACAACGTTGGGTTAGAGAACAGTATTTTAAAAGATGTAAAATAAAGCATATAAAGTTTACTTCAAATTGATACTCGTTATTCTGTATATCTAAATTATTATTTATTTTAAGTATATAATCTTTACAAACTTATGGAATATAAGGTTCTTAATATAATACATAAGTATATTTTTTAAAGTACATGTATAAAAGTAACATAAAAAGTGGGGCGTCGAATTATTCTGCAATATGAATCTTCGCTAACAAATTTAAACTTTTGAGCTTTTAACTTTTCGTTAAATTTTTAAAAGTTAACTTAGCAAGATGAGTACGTTTTTTGACGATTTTTCTGTTTTAATCATTTGGAATTACTTGATTACGTTTGGGGAGTAATCGACCATTTTTTCATGTACAAATCAATTTTTGTTTAAACTTCGAATTATGCAATCAGTGTTTGTTATTCAAGTTTTAAACGTTTCGGAATTTAATTTGGACAATTTTTTTTAGGTAAGCCAGAGTTTGCAAGAGTCCTGCAACCAAGAGTGCCTGACTGCGAGGACGAGTTGGAACTGTGCGTGGCCGACATTATCCGGGTGCTTCAGAAGGTCAGTGTTAAATTCTGACTAATTTCATTTTTTGTTATAATTTAAGATTAATATAATTATAAATAATATATTAATTAATTTAATTATTTATATTATATTAAAAGTGTATTACTATTTTTAATTGTATTATAATGCTTTTTGCCAGATTTTATGTAATTGTGTTTTTTTCAATTTGATAATATATAATATTTTAGCGTGAGAATCTTTAGTATTTATAAAAAGATTTTGTCAATTTGATAATATATAATATTTTAGCATGAGAATCTTTAGTATTTATAAAAAGATTTTGTCGCTGTGAATATTATTATTAGTATTAATAATATATCTGATATCAGTGAGTCCTTAATAATTTAAGATTGTGATAAATATGACATGATGAATGAGAAGACACATTGAACAGCATAACATGGGTGAGAATGATTAAATTAAAATATTGAAATTAATAAAAAATAAAATATATAATAAATAAAAATAAATAATTTAAAATTTGTTTCTTATATTATATTTTTATTTGTTGTAATTTAAGATTAAGTCATTCAGATAAGCTATATAATATATATATATATAATATATATATATATATATATATATATATATATATATATATATATATATATATATATTACCAACATATATATATATAAATATATATATATATATATAATATGATTAAAGAGTGAATAATCATTATAAAGATAAAAAGTTATGATTAAATAAATGATTTTAAACAAAATCTATGCATAATTTAAAATTTGTTTTGTATATTTCTATTTGCCAAATGAAATTGTTATAATTGTAAATATATTAATGTAATTATACTTATTTAATTTAATTTTAAATGAATATTTTAAAGTTTAATAATGGTTGGTCCAAAGGAGTCCTCGACGATAACGTAGGATTGTTTCCAGTTAGCCATGTCAAATTTCTCAAACCATGTATGTTATAATGTTAGCACATAAATTTAAAAAAAAAATAAGACGTTAACTCTAACATTTTTCAGCTTGAATAATTTTTCAAATTATTAATTAATAATTTAAAATATTTTTAATTAAATATACTTGGCTGAAGTATTTGGAGTGCGAGTGCTATACAAATACGAGGCCCAGATGCCTGACGAGTTGGTCTTGCAGGTTGGAGACACCATCACCGTCCTCGATGATGATCTCGAAGATGCAGGCTGGTGGTTTGGGGAGATTGCCGGTAGAGGTGGAATGTTTCCCAACAATTTTGTTGAGGTTTTTCTACTCAAATTATTCGTTTTTTCTCTTAATTTTCACATACATCCATTCAAGAACATAAGCTGGTGATTTGCATGGGAATTTCATCTTTTCAAACCCTAGTTTTATGTTAACTTGGATTTTTAGTTCATCTTTTACTACAAAAAATTGTTTAGTTGAAAATCTTTTATTTAAAATTTTTTCTTTTTTCTGCAGAGGATTAAGCAACCAGTGTTGAACCAAGCTGTTATCAGAAAAAAATGTTAGTCCGCTGTTTTAATGGATTGTGATTTATTTTATTAAAAATTTGTGTATTCCTGTTTTGAATTTGTTTTAGCATTGCAAGCCTTATGCATTTCGGGTGCTGAATTGTCATTGAACTTCCACACACCCATAAAACTAATTATTTTTGTTCTAGCAGAAGTGTGATGTTGATTTTTTTTTCTTATCATACAAATATCAATTGAAGAATTTTGTTGATTTTTATAAAAAGTGATTTTTGTAGAACCGTTTCTGTTATTTCCAGCAAACTTTGGTAGGAACAGTGAATCAGACATGAAAGATGGTGTTAGTGAAATAATAATCCTTTACGTTGTTTTATACTACTTTCTTTAAATTTTCCTGAATAAATCAAAATGTATCATGTTTCCAAGTTTTAGCTTTTCTTTGTACTGACAAGCAATTCATACTCTTTTAACTTTAACTTTTAAACTGAACTGGTTCATGTGTCTTCTTGGATGTAACTTTTTGAATTGTAACATTAAAATTGAACATTTTCAAGACTAATGTTTTTGGACTTAAGATAGTACCTAATTTACTATCTTTTTAATAATTAATGATAATTCTATCATAAACAGAGTTGAGCTTATCAAATATTTAGGTGTTATTGTTAACAAATTGAACTGGAAAGACCACATTTTATATATCTCATTAGTTTATCCTTACCTGTTATATGGTATTATTATTTTCAGGTTAATATTCATTCATTGTTACTAACTCTTTGCCAAAACTTTTTTATCCAAATTTATTTTAACTGGAAAAAATTTGATCACATCTCTGAATCTTGTATACTTTCAAAATTATTGTCTATTAATCAGTTATATATTTTAAAAGTCTTAATTTTTCTTTGTAAACTAACAGTTACCAAATTGCAAAATGTATCCATTATTTCATTCTCATTTAACAACCACCTGATCACTCAATGATATTCATTCAACATGCCACACGTGCTAACTTTTCTCGCCCTGTCTTATTTTCTATCTCTCTTTTATATCTCATTATCAAATTGTGGTCTTCAATACCTATTTATCTTATATCTGACATTAATGTTTATCAATTTAATAAAAGTATTATTAAATTATTGTCATCAAATCATTTTTCATCATTTGTTTAAATTTTGACGTAAAACTCGGTGCATTGTGGATAGTGAGTTTTGTTCTTATTTGATTTGGGACTCTGCATGCCTATTCTGGCTTCTGGTCTTTATTGTGTTCAAAATAAATAAATAATTGAAAATTCATAATTGTTAATAATTGTATTTTATTTTCGATTTGTATACCGCCTCTATTCAGAAAGACAGTTATAAAAAATATTTATTAGTGTATCAGTAGATATATTAATACAGGTCTAATTGTAATAAATGAATTACAGTGTAGCAAGAGTTCCTCGCAGCCGACGAACCCTCCTGCCTGGGACAAGTACGAAGAGGAGCGCCAGGATCAACCATTCCAACGCCAACCATCACCAGCAATCAAAAATTCTCACCAGTCGTCTAAGGGCCAACAACAACATCAACTGCAACAACAACAACATCAACTGCAACAACAACAACATCAACTGCAACAACAACGGCAACAATTGTCGCCAACATCGACGAAAAAGCGCAACATTTCGCCGAGAAAGGCGGCTTCAGATGGAGCAGCTGTCCCGGGCAGTAACGTAAACGACGTAAAGGAGGACCTGGCGAAGATCAGGTTCAACTTTGAATGGTTCTCCATGAAGCACGCCAAGACGATCAGTCAGCTGGTCGAGGAGGTTGAGCATGAGAAGAAGGAGAGGAAGTCGCTGGAAGGCCAGTTACTGGAACTCAATCAGATGGTCAATAACAAATTCAATTTGAAACTTTAACGGTTTTCTGTGTATGATGCTTGCATCCATTTACATGTTGCACTCAGTCGGTTGGATAACCAGTATTTATATTGAAATGTTCATTTGTTATATCTACAAGTCACTTTTTTCATATCAGTTTATTCAATCTGATTTGTTAACTTCCACGTTTTTCCACTTTGTTTGTTGCATCAGTTTGTTATATCATTTCCTCCAGCTGAAAACTAAAAAAAAACAAGCTCTTTGATATTAATATGTAAATGTGTATTTATATTGTGTGTACGCAAGTTCTACGGTATGTTCTACAATTTGATTGCATTAATAAGTAAATAAATAAATAAATGTATTTTGTATATGCATGTTCTACATTATTTTTTTCAGTTTGTTTGAAACATGTTCTTCACACGTACCTGATATATCATTTTTGTATTAAAAAAATGTATTGTACTGAAGATGATGATTTATAAGCGCCTCTATCCAGTTATCTTCAGGAAAGCTGTCTTTTATGCTGCATTTTGTGGAAAAAATTATGCTTCCATGGGCTCTTGAAAATTTCACGGTTGATAGCATCTTTCAGATCAGCCGCTAATGAGTTTCAGACTTCGGCAAACAACAACAACAACACACGTTTAGACGACATTTTTCCCGAGATCGGGGGTTGCCGTTTGGCTACCTATGATGAAACTTCTGTCATCATAAGTAATTTATTTGGCTAATTTTTACGCAGGACGCTCTTCCTTACGCAACCACAGTTATAAGCGGTGGGCCTAGCCTTTGATGATCCAACATCACTCACATGGCAGTGAGGGTCAGTTTAATGTCATAACCAGGACAGACAGACTTCGACAGATGGGACTGAAAACTTTTTTTTATTATTTTTTTATCTATTAATTCATTCAATTAGTCAATTTTAAACGTTGATAATGCTCTCGTGTTTACGTGTTCAGATTAAGAGCAAAAATATTATTACAAGTTCTCAAAAATGTTTTCAAGACGAACTAATTATAATTAATCTTGAACTGCCATTTTAATTTAAATGCGGTAATTGAGTTTATATTATTCAAAATGATATTACATTGTCTCATGACATTTTGGCATTGAAAAAGCATTTAGATATCTCATTTCCATTGTCTATAGATTGTTGTTTTTATACATTTGCATTCTATGTTTGTTTGTTTGTTTGTTTGTTTGTTTGTTACATAAATGTTGATACCTAGTCCGTATGTGATGTACTACATTATAATTTACGTGCTGTCTTGTTTTTTGTCAACTTTGGTTTTTCATTCTTATGTTTTTTTAGGTCATTGCTACTGTATTTTTTAAAATCGATTTTATGGTCACTTGTTTGTTTTATTTTTATAATTTCACGTTCGAATCTGTTGATCTGTTTAATGTGAAAGTTTACAACACAACATTTTTCAGGCATTCTTATGTTTATCAACTGTATTTCAATCGACTACCATCAGTCTCCTTTGTAGTTAATCTTTTGTTTAAATATTCTTCATTCAATTTATTTCTTGGTTTTTTTTCTCAACTTTTTATGATAATTTTCTCATAAACCTCTCCTACGTTACCCATCCAATGATGTTTCCATGTCAGGGTTTTTAATAGGTGTTGTCATATGACATGTTGGTACTTTTAACTGATAGACTTATATTGAAAAATGTACGTATTCGCAGAAATATTATGGAATATTAGTAAATTCATTCAAAATTTACGTTCGTAGAGTTATAAACAATTCAAGTTTCAGCCATCGAAAAAAAAATTCGTTCGCTACGTCATAGCTCTTTAAATTTGATAATTATAAATAATTCATGTTCAGAATAAAATATTATTTCCGTCGTTTTACAATTCTTAAAAAAATTCAGTCGGTTCATTTACTTAAGTAATTACTTTATAGCGGTTTATATCATAAGAGAAGTTTAGACATTTTTGATTGTACAATTTCCTCATTTGTGGCCCAGTCAATGTTTCATCCTGAGCAAAAGTGTCATGTTCAAGGTTCTTCCTCGTCGCCTCCAAATAATATTCACACGCCATAATATTTAATGACTACTTTAGAGAGGTAACAAACGATCCGATAGAAAAATTTAATATACATTTAACGGTTAAATGGTTCTATCGACATCAAAGTTTTTTCAGAAGCTAAAGTTGAATTTATTTTCGAACTTATCATAACAAATGTCAAATAACAAAATGGAAAATAGGAAAAGATATTTGAACAAACAAACAGACGAATGAATGATTGGGTTGCTTGTTCTTCTGTAACTTCATTTACCGATGAATGAAGGTACAGGTCTTGGATGAACGTTCCATTTTTTCGCCGGTGGGTGGGGAATCTGATGGTCACATAATAATAAATCTCATCATTATATCAATCCATGCCGTGTAATAACTGCCTCAGGCAGCAATTGTTGACCAAATCAGCAGTCGCAAATTTGTTTAACTGTAATCAATGAATGTTGAAATGAATGCTGATCATTAAAATGCAAACCCTTCTGAGGTAGTTCTTCAAATTTTCATCATTGCCGTAGAAATATTTTGTTCTGGAAGACTCTGATGGTCCCACATTATCAAGGATCGCTTGGAAGAACATGAAGCATTTGTTAATATTGATTGCATGTTTCTATGTGTGAGTGCTTTAAGGGCGCCAGTGCTTTTGCAGGTGGAAAGACAAGTGCTAAAAAAATTTTGCAATTAAAATGTTTAACCATACCTGAGTTGGCATATGAGTCTGGCTTTAAGAACTTTGTTGGAATGTACTGAGGTGCTGGGTTAAATTCTGAATAAAATTAAAAAAAATCATTCAACGTTTTAGTTGCAAATGTTTGTCTGCTTGATTGTTGCTACCAAAAAACATGAACATTTCTTTTTCATTTGTCAATCACTAATTTATTGACTCGGAGAGTTTTAAAAATTTGTTGGCCGTTCCAATTAGAAAAAAAAATTGCTATTGATTTGACCACTCTGTTCATTAGAAAGTTTAAAGTTAAATTTGACGTGTCTGCAAAATAATTAAATGTCCCGTTCGCTGTTGCAATGTAAAAACAAAATCCATGTGTCACCAATTAATCAATTTTAGCCGTCTAGACAGGAATAAAACAAATAATGTTATTAATATTAAATAAACTGCAAAAAAAACTATCAGGATGAAGATAGAGCATAAACGTCTTCGGAAAAATGTGAATTCAAAGAAAAATTATAAAATGCGTTGGCTGATTAATAATTCTGGCTTGTGCACTTTTTCATGAACTGGGAAGGAAAAAGATAAAACTACAAAACACGAACATCATTCAGCATGAGAATTCTCGTGTTTGATTTGCTAAATCAACCAAATACGCCAAACAAGCGTTGATGTTTTCCGGAAAGTATGTTGTATGTTCGATACAAATTAAGTCCTAATTTGATCTGATCAGTGTATGAACACTCAACATTTCCATAGATTTGGCATATGTACCTACCTTAGTAGCGATGCGCTGATGTGTACATAAAATTAAATTAATTTTTTTTAATTTTTGATAATTTTCAGTAAACGTAAAAAAGTATTTCATTAAAATGTCGCAAATAACGTCTGACTCAGTTAGTTTTGTCATTTAAAATTAACTTGTTATGACAAAAAAACCTTCGCTATCGGCTCTCCATGAACCATCCTCGCCATCCCTATTGACGTCATACATCTCCATCTTTGTTGCGTCATTTTGTTTACTGCTGCCATGTACGGTGAGGAGTATGCAGATGAGCACGTTGAAGACGAGTGATTGTCTCATGGATAGCATCATCTTCACCACTTTTTATGAATATTTATGTGGAAGTTGATGGTGTTTCGTGGTTGTAGTCAATGCTGCTGCTACTGTCAGGTCAGTCAGTATGCTACCGTGCTTGTTACTTGTAGATGGAAATGTTGAAATTCAATTTAAATTATTTTTATGGTAAATAACAAAATAACTAATAAATTTTTTGAGGTTATGAATTAGTAGATGAACTATGGATGGTTACATCCACGTTGGAAATCGTGTGCATATAAGGCTATATATACAGTATGGTTTATATACTATATATAATTTATATGTAGTTGTGGTGAAACACAAGGAAACACATTGTCTTATTGCTCATATCATCGTCACTCGCGTTATTTAATTAAGAACGCTAATGAGCCAGCCGGTTAATAAACACGTGTGTTGCCTATAAATCAAACGACACTTAACCCAACACTGCATATCATGTTGATGAAAAAAATCGTAGCGGAAATAAAGATATGAACTAATCAAGCGTTCTCATTCTCAGGAGACATTTTAGTTTTTATTGAATCAGAAGTGCGGATACCTTCTCTAATATTGCTTTTGGGAACCTCCTATATATAAATATGTACGTATAAATAAATAAAAACAAATATATATATATATATATATATATATATATATATATATATGTTGGTAATATACCATAATTTTTACAATATTCTATAAATTCTACCGAATGTTTGGCGTTAATATGTTTGTAGTTCGTAAAACGAACTACAACGGTAGAATTTATAATATTCTATAAATATTTACAATATTCTATAAATTCTATAAATATTTACAATATTCTATAA